CGGTAACAGTATGCCATTACATTGTACGTAATTCTTAGACGAGTGACGATTATATTAATATAAACGATTTATTTGGTTTTCAATTGTTTCCATAATTTTATCATATCCTTTTCTAGGATCATCTAATCGTAATAGCTATTCGTATTATTATTTTTTACATACTATCAGCAGTTGCATTGTTAATTATATTGATTAAAGAAATAAGCATTTTACTACGGAAAGGCTTAGGTAAACAAAATAGGTGTATTCCGAGATCGGATTACATACTATAATATATTATTATTATAATAATGCGTACCTATTCTGTGATACTTTTGATTAGATACGGCGTGTTCGGCACGTGTCTGAGTGAACTAAATCCGTTAAATGTTTTGTATTATCAAATGTCAACCTGTATTTTTTTCTTTTATCTAATCACACTGCCAACAAAACGATCAACATATTGGGATCGTTTTTCCGGGTTTCGCATGAAATAGATTACCTAGGAATTAGCTACTAGGTTAAGTATTTAGATGGGTAAGTGTACAAAAACATAAATATAAAAAACAATATACGCATAAATGATAAAAAATATGAAACGTATGTCGTTTGTTAGTATTTTTCTTGTTCATTCATCCTAAGCGACTCTCTATAGTACTATTTTTTATAAATAAACACAGGTAAAACAGCTTATAGGCTTGTCATTATTGCCATCATTTTTTTTGTGAACCGCTTGGCGCTTATTAGGCATATTTTACTTTTTCCTTCCGCCTTAGGGTCAATTATATTATGAATAATAATTTATAAGATTTAATATAATAAAAAAAACCTATCACACCGGTGTAATATTTAGTCGATGCCCACCAAGATTACGATAACAAGAATATAAACTAAGTCAATGACTGTTTTTTTTATTTAACTCTGCCTGAAAGTTCAGAAGTGGAAACAGGTATAACTAAGACCGGTTGAAATGACCATTTCGTGATTTTTCTAAACGTAACGTAAAACGTAAGAAAAGCAATGTTTAAATATTATTGTTACCAAAATCAAAGTAACAGAAAATAAACTATAAATCGATTTTTTTAAATAAATGCAATTTTGAAGTCTGCGATTATTTATAAGTTATAACCGATTATGAGAACCGGAAATAACTAGATTCGCGCAATTGGTTTTATTGAAACCGGTTAAAAAACCTCAATTTATTCGGATAACGTCCTTGTTTAAAACATATTCCTTTTAATTTTTTTTTTCAATTCCCAATGAACTAGACGTGGTAGTTTTACAAATTACACGATTACCGCAGTTTTATAGGTATATTGAATAAGACGTCTAGTTTTACAACTATTTAAATGTATTTAAAAATTGTCTCCTGATCGGTATGTAACCGTAAATAAGACAATACGAGTGCAGTTAACTCTAATACTAGCAAATACAGCGGTTTCTTAATATTAGTATAAATCTTTACAAAAAAAATTGATGTACCAATGAAAAGTGAAATTACGATTGATAAAATGCATAGTTTAATCAACTAATGATTTGTTTATGGTTTAATTTAATGTTTTACATCTCGCGTTATAAGTCGAACAAATTAAAAAAAATTTCTCACTTAAACATTCAGCTGGGTTAATTGATTTTGAAATTATTAGACGTCTGCATCTCTTGAGCGTGTGTATCAATGTTATTCAAACTGGTATTACTTAGAACGGGATTTCTAAATCCGCGCTACACTACGTATTAATAAGTAGTTTTTATAACGTTTTAAGTTGAAATTTGACATGTATTGAAATTACCTAATACAGGTATATTATAATGTAATACTTTTATTGATCACGTCCTAATTTACAACGAAGTAATTACTCAACGATCGTTTTTTCTTTCTTCAAAATGAGACTACCCTCTTGATTAACAACTCGAGGTTGATGGTAATGTTTTTGAACACGAGCTTAAAAATCATAGATAATAACTAATAAGTAAGCTGTTGTACACATATGATTCGTGATACACATAATAATATTAAGTTACACCATTATACGGTAAATAAACAAGAGAATGTGTAAAATCTATACACAGGTACACACCGATGATCGTTTTACAGACGGCGGATAGCACAATAATATTATCATTAACAATTTAAGGTCACGATTATAAAACATATTATACAGATGTTATGTAAAAAAATTAAACACCAGAAATGATGAAAAATTATATTTTCTTAGAAAAAGTTATATTATTTAATTTTATTATTTTAAGATTCCATTCTTTTATTTGTTTTTCGGTGACGATTTGCAAAATACGTATTGGCAATATTATTATACCAACGCCTTTCGGTTTTCAAGGTTATCTCCTTAGCCAGAGGCATTACCTATAATATAGTACCTACACACGTATATACAAAAACAATTATAAAAAATCTAGCCGTAGCACGCATGTTGAGGTTATTATAGTAGGTACTTTTTGATCCAAAATGTTACGATAAAAAATTAAGGTCACTGAAGGCTATTCAGATAGTGTGCACCGGTATATTTTTATGCATATTAATAAATAAAATCGCAACATCTTTAGCAGAAAAAAAATGTTTTTATAATATCATCAGAAAGTTGTTTTAACATTTTATAACAACATTTTGGCTATAAATACAATTTCCTAAAGAAATATTATTTACAAAATGTTACTATAGTATTATTTAAATAATGATAGTTATTAGAATATTCCAGAATGTTTCTAGGTTATTAAATTATTGATAAAAAAGTTATTATAAAATAGGTAATCATTAACCTTAAAAAACTTTTTGGTAACATTATGAAAATATTTAATTTTTCTTCTGTAAGAAAATGTGTTAAAATGTTACACATATGTTGTATTTGATTTTATTCGACACGAAATAAAAAATGTTTAATTAGTTGCAATTAAGCGCAATGTTTAATGTTTTGATGCTCGACATATTTTCAATTAGACTATTTAAGTACAACCTTATAAACCTTATATTGATACTTAATTAATTACCGCTAATCGAAAGGAAAGTTAACTAATTAATTTAATTAGAAAAATAACTAAATTACAAGAAGAGCTATTATATTATTCTAATAAAATCTATGCAAATATATACCAGTTATTGATCAATTGAATATGTTTTTTGGCTATAAGTTTAATATTGTAGCGGTGAGAATCATAAGGGTACATGTGACATATTTTTTCAAAAATAAAGATATTGAAGAGTTTTAGTGTTTTTAGTTTTAATGAACACCGTCCACAAAATACATTGAAAATATTTTCATTTTGCCCTCTTGTAGAAATGTGTAAAAGGTTCCTTACATCATTTTGATAAGGTAGAAAATTACTTTAGGGTGGACAAAATCAAATATAAAGGCAAGTAAAATATAAAATGAAACGTCTAAATAATCGTAATAGTTAATTGTAAACCATTAAAAAACAACCAATACGTGAGATATTATGGTTTTCAATTTCAACACTTCGCAATCAGGTTCGTACGACGTACTCAAAAATTAACTTATGTTAGATAAGAAAAACGTAAGAAAACAATTGGTGATAAGTGATAACTACAAAATAGTAAAACAATCGAAATTCACAAGGAAGTAATGTCACGGGACGTACATTAATAACAACTAACACGAGTGATTTGGTATGTAGGTAATACGACACCCCTTTCATAAAATATACACATTTTTCGGTTCCATTTATAAAAATAAGGACATATCTCAAACATATTGTATTTAACACACACTAGTCATGAAAATTAAAGCGCCACTACCTAAAATATTTTATAATACAGTATGCCATTAAATACATAGAAATAAGAAGCATAGCTTCAATATTCGTATCGCAATATTGTCAACTAACGAAATGACCTCTTTAACGTGTGTCCCTTCAGATTTTGTACCTAAATGTGTTAATGGAAATTTAATAACAACGCCAACGCAGAAGTGCTGCCGTCCCTGACTCAAAATAGAAAACCCTTAGTATATTATTATAATATAACTATACAAAAATTATATCTAAAATTTAATTTTATAGCAATACTTAATCATATTTTTATGTTAATTATTATTGTTCATGGAAATTGTGGCCATCCGCCATTGATTCGTGTTTGGGCCATATTATTATATGGAACTATGGTCCGCTGACTACTTAAAAGCTACACGATTTAATACATTTCATAGTTTTTAAATGTACCTATCTATATATTATAAAACACAGTGAATGGGTTATTTTATTAGTCTTTATATTTAAAAAAACAGCCGGACGTTGAATTTAGGATTAACTATCAATCCCTGTTAAATACTTAAATGGATGATATTGATAATACATTTTTAATAGCTCAGTAACTTATGATAGATGATGGTTTATATTATGTGATAAATGATAATTCTGACAATTTTTAGTTTTACATTTTTATATACTCCGGCTACGAGAGATCATTACCGTTTCGCGCATGTATACTGACGGCAGTAATGGTTAATTTGTATTCGAAAAAAATTCTCAGTACCCAGTTACCAACGTGATAGTTAAAACAAAAAATTTTAAGTTGATAAAAAATACCAAAAAAAAATACTTTAAAAAATGAATGCTCATACAAACACATCCCATCTAACGGCATACAAATGAATAACTGAATTATCGTGCATTTGACTAGCTATTAACTACCCATTAGCTCGCACTATTATCATTGTATGTATACAAATAATAATGTTTATTTATCATAATAATTATTGTGATGCCGAGGGAAACCGACCGGGGGAATGACATATTCTAGCCTAGAAGAGTATAAAGAGGCGCAAGTAACCAAATGTAAACTAACAGAAATCATGGTATAATATGAGTACTATTATTATTTTCTCTATTTTTTTCACGAACACAAAAAAAAATGTATGACATAGCACATCGATAATGCGACTTACAATTAATACCGTTCGCGTAATAACAATAATATTACACATTATTCGCAACAACGAAACTCGCAATTGTACCATCTTCTAAATCCTAGTATATCAACCGGTACTTACCTAATCTACAACATGTACGGATATTTTCTGGTACTCAAAGTAATCCATAAAACTATAATAAATGCGTCGAATTTCGCGGGCACGTACTTACGGCCACCGCCGCGTCCGTTGTAACGATGCAAACCAAATGTTTAAAAAGTGTTAATAATTTAAAAAAAAAATATTAATATTGAAAATAATAAATATATTTATGTATAATCAACGATATTTTTTATTAATATTAAATTATATATTTAAATAAAACTATAACAAATCAACCAACGTGAAACTCAATACCGTTTTGAGAGATAAGAACAAAAATTATTATCAAAAACGGCGTGGGACATCGTGCGGTCCGGTTAAAGCGTTGCGGGCGCGCACAAAAAGTGGTCGACTTGGTTGCTGCACCGTCACTGGACTGCACAAGAGTGGCGCTGAGGCTAATAGGCCAAAAACATGTTTCAATAACGCGGTAACGGCAGAGCGATTCCCTTCCACATCGTGACGATGCGCCGGTCGCTACTCGCGGAAAACCAGTTTTTCTCATGTCAAATTATTGTTAATATTATTATTATGTGTGTGTATTATTTAAATCGCTAATAAACATCAGACAAGACGAGATGACAGTCCTTGGGTCTACACAAATTACAACCAGTCTCCTAAACTAAGTGCATAATATAATATATGTAATAATACTTGTATGGGAAAACGCAATAGTAAACATCGAGCAAGTATTATGTACTTATGTCGTACAGGCCGATTGAGCTGTACAGTTTACTGTATTGTGGCTGTAGGGTCATACGGCTGTAGTGGACCCTTGCCCAGTGGGCCCAAATTTAAAAACGGCCCACAAAATTGAACCGGCCCTCGAGACACGAATATTATAGTATAACACATTACACAAATCGAAGAGATAGAGAACCGAACAAGAAATATAAGACATTCATACAATTTTACAGAGCAAAATAAAAATAAATTTTCTGTCTAACCCTAATTTCCTATTGTAATACCTACACATAATACATTTTATTCGCTTCTTGATTGATTTAATTAGTAGATGACTCTTTGGAATAAAAAATAGTCGATTTACTTTCAAATTTGAATGGGGTAATTATTAGGTTAGATATTATAAATAAATAGTTAGTACTTAGTCATTTTCCAAATGTCTTAAATCCTGCGTCCAGTAGGTTGGTGGAATACTTACTCACGCAGCTAACTTCCCCGTGTGAGAGTTCACGCGCTATATAATTTTCCGTAACGGTTGTTTTTTAAAATAATACAAACAAAAGCCTGGATTTAGGTTGTGATAATAATTAATAACATTATTATAAATACTATGTTTTGTTGTTCAATGTTCACTTAAAGAAATAATATTTCACGCTCTACAAAACTGTAAATATAAGAACCGTTGTCGCCAAACCCATTCCCTTACACAGCTGTTCTTTAGACGAACATTCTATAATGTATAATATACACTACAAACATCTGTCTGTTTTAAAACATTTTAAAAATTATATGTCATTAAAAAAATTCTATTATAACGTTAAATACATTTTATAAATTCCATTCAGAGTAGATTTTGAACATTTGCTGTTCTATGAGGACACACCAAAAACAATATTCATCACTACATTTATGGCCACCAAAAATAAAAGCGAAATCCGAAAAATAACCTAACAAATTAGTACCTTTCAAATCGTTTTTGGGTAATCTGTCACTGCTTGTTACACCGTGTGACGTCTTAGTCCAATCAACACGTGTCTGATCGCCAAACTGTTCTTAGTTCTATATGATATTGTACGTGCCATATGGTGTGCAATTTTTTTCTAGATTTGTGGACCATACTGTGTATAATACTATTAGGTAATATATATATATATTTATAAAGTATTATGAATAATGATTTAAACCCCTATTATAGAGTATAGTCTATAGACCATTTATTTGACAACGTTATTGTCATCAAGAAACGATGTATTATCTTCGATGACTATAAGAAATTTGTGTTTACAAAATTTAAAAAAATAGATTATTCGTCCAAATCTCTTAAAAAGTTTTCTTTACATTTTTAAAAATTAGACTTTTATCACAAATAAATAAAGCAGAAATATAACTTTAGGTAAGGGTAGATCCCATACAAGCTTCTCAAATTATTTATACAATATTTAAATGTAGCCATTTACAGAAAAACATAATATGTGAATTAATCAACAATTGATAATATCTTGATAAACTTGTATGACTTGACTTTTAAAAATTGACTCAAAAGATTGTGTTAAGTCTGGTCGACACTATAAATAGCTGAGAGGATGGGTTGGCTAAGAATAAAAAAAATGTATTTTTATAATTGGTACTTTGGAGAACGATCTAAAGACTGTGCAATACGTGTAAAATAATGGTCCTATAGTTAAAAACCGAGATCTAGACACAAAATTTAAAAAAAAACACTCAATTGTAAGACCAATAGGAATCTACAATATTTCATGGAAGCCATAATTAAACGCTGGCAAAGAAAAATATGTAATATTATATTTGTTATTATTTAAGTATTGTAAAACAAAGGTTAAATCCTATTCATTTGAAAAACTCAATATACAAGTAACGTCCAACTGTGAACACAATTCCGCCACGCATACTCACAATCATACACATTACACATGTAGCTGGACTACATATTTTAATTTATACTTAACATTCAATCTTAGCTTTTTCATTTTTTTTAATTAACTTCTTTTATTATTGTTGTAATATGTTTTCTATGGCTATTGTTATAAGGACCCATCTAATATTTCACACAATGGAATTTATTTATTAAAGAATTCGTTTTATACCACACCCCATCGTGAAAGCGTCATGGTATGATATCTAATGCATTTATCTCAAACGCTCCATAATTGTTGAAATGTTTTTAATACCTTTAATCGACTCTTGTAAATGTTTACACGGTCCTGCCAATTCTGTTCACGCAGACATATTTGAATCAGACTAACCTAAACTATATCAAAACAAAAAGTAAAAATTCTACTAAGACATCAATATAAACAAGTATGCAATGATTTAAACCTCCCAAACTGCGCGCTTCTAATATTATCACTCCAAACTAGTCCTCCTTGGAATAAATATATAATTATACTGTATACAATATAATATACATATAATTTCAAGCGCGCAGTTTGGGAGATTTAAATCACTGCATACTTGTTTTTATTGATGTCATAATGAGAAGTTTTTCTTTTTGCTTTGACATAAGTTAAGACTTAGGTTTACCTGGCTCAAATATGTTTGTGTGAATATAAGAAAATGTAGGATTAATAATAATGCAGTTTTTGTGTATTTGAAGTAAATGTTCGAGTATTAAAAAAAAAAGTAAGTTTTGATGTCAAGTTGAGAAGACCTATTGATTTAAAAATTTAAAAATTGTACAAAAACTCCAAAGTTTTTCTGGAGACTTTTTGCGGATTTTAATTCTGAAGATTTGATTGAAAATAAACCAAATGAATATGTATTTTATAATAATCTTAAAAAATTGTAGTCGCAATTTGATCATTAAAGGAAAATTGCCATATATCAAAAATCGCAAATAATATGTCAGTACAGTGGACTCTTTGTAATCCGGCCATGTGATACGTCTGACACGTCCAGTAATCCGGCACTATTATTTTCGCAATGCCAAGTTTTTTTATAGAAAAATTATGAACAAAAATGATTTTGAGGCTTAATGTTACGACGTTTTCAAGAAAAAGCGATACAAATATAATTTCGCGTGAAAAGGCAACAAAAAATTGATATTTTTTTTAGACGCTGTATAATACAAATATATAATAACACAATTAAGTACAGTATAAACATTGGTTTTGCTATTAAAAATCGTTTTTTTTTTTATGAACCTCCGCTAATCCGGCGTTTTAGTTAATCCTGCAGTAGCTACCCTGGTCTGATATCTGCAAGATCACCGAGAGTCCACTGTACTGACTATAAAAAATGTTATCTTGTTATCGATATTTTTCATTTTTGTTTAAATCAGTTGGCCTTTTTGAGTCAGTCTGACGCTGGATTGTATAACAATTGTATTCGAGAAAACAGCGGTTATACGCGTGTACATGCAAGAAGTGGGTTTAATAAAAAATTGCCTGCCTAAGAAAATTGCTCCACCATGTCCGTAACTCCATCCCCTCCTTAAATGCGTCCCTGACGGCTGACGTAGTGGTTCAGTCTCAATGTGCGTTAACTAAATTCTGCATATTATTTTTCTTTATAAATGTTGTATTTGTTCTGTACCTAACCAACCGTCTATGTGTAAACTGGAGATTGTGTTTTTTTTATTTATCAACGACTTCAAAATGCACATAAAACGCTCAGCACTCGCAGGTATAGTCGAAAAAGAGTATTCATGTTGAAGGTCGCACACTACGATAATTTTACAATGTTTTAGGTAGGTGTATTGGGATTAATGGCTGGTAGTCGTGTTCGACACAAGGGCGTTGTCTTTCTCTTTAAAATATTATGGTCTCTTAAAGTAGATGGATCGCACGATTAAAATGTGACATTAAAAAAAAAATCAAAGGTAAACAAAAAAATCTTTACATTAAATGTTGGATTTTACATAAAAAAAAAATACTACTAAGCACGCTGAAAAAAAACTATTATAATGTATTGTATTTTTTTTCGCATCCCATGACTGACCAAATTAGAGCCGTGTAATATCATCAATTACCTTGAAAGTATTATATTTACAATGTTACCTGTACAATTTACAGGCCAATAACAGGGTAACTATTGTTGGAAGTATACTGATTTGTCTCGTAATTATGATTTTTAAATTATATGAATTATGACGGTTCAGGGCGAGAACAGGTACAGATTCAAACAATGGCGTTGTAATTATATTTATGAGTTATATGTATATAAATGGCCATATTATGTGTACGTTAGAAAAAAATATATAATTTATAAATCAGTAAATTTTATTAGAATTACAATAAGCCTGTCTTTTTTGGAAATTTTTAATGCAATATTAAAATTTAAAACTTGATGGTAGAATATAAACAGTTCAGTACATAGTATTTGTTTTTTTAAGTATTGAAATAAAATATTTAGAATTCCAAAAATACTTCTTCAGCTTTGCCTCTATGTTACAAATGTGTTTGGAATCAGGAATTGGGCGTGAATAGGCAATACACAATATGCAATAGTATACTATAGTTTAACAGGAAATATTCAAAGCGAACCTGTCAATATTTTGGATTTAAGTGGCCAAATCAAACCTTGAAAACATGGTTACTATTTTTTTGTATATGGTCTTTGATAAATTACTGCGTCATTGTAATATCAATAATTCGAGAGACTCGAACTCGTTTTTAAGTAGCTTCGAGAGTCCTAGATAAAATGATTGGTGAACAATATAAGTATTGGGTAAAACTTTTATAGGAACCTTCAGGTCTATATGACCTTAAAAATCCATGTAATCTAAACAAATCATTATATAGTTCAGTCATTATAGTCTATAGCAAACCAGTTAGTTCTTATAATTTATATGACTCATATAGTGTAATGGGTTGGGTACCGATTATTTGTATGTTTTGTTAAAATGTCAAGTCTAATAAACATTTATGGGATATCATAATTCATATTTTATAGGAACTACATATTGAGATTTATGAACCGATTGAATTCAAACGTAAACATATTATACGTAATCAGGAGAGGAATGGGGCAATTGCTTGAACATACACTTACATTAGAAAAATATACTATTTAGCCCCTATCTCAATTATAAATAGTGAAATTGAAGTATAATTTGTATTATTAGTTTAATAATATTATCAAGAAAACTTGTAGGATTATTAGTTTTTAATGTTATCTTCTTCTTACTATATAATCCTTATTATATCTATTGAAAATAATTTGTTTTCTTTATACTTGAATAAAACAGTAACTATTTTAAAAGGCATTTGGCATATTGTGTAGGCGACATTTTGCTTAAATTTTTCTTTCTACGAGTATTTTTATTTTTGTTATTCCATTTAAGATTATCAGGGGTCATCACAAAACTCTTAATAGCACTTTCTTTCAGCTCTCGTTCAAAACCAATTTTTCTTGTAGACTGCAACATTCCAGCTTTAACGGCAGTATTTAATATAATCAAGAAATTTTGAACACCTTAATTATTATTGCTTATTGTTAAATCATAAATAAAAACACAGAATTAAACAAATAATTATTTTACACTTCATAACATTTCAATACAATTAGATAAATTATTACACTCCATCAGTCCTTTAGTGTAATATTTTAAAAATAATTTTTACATAGTAATGTTTTTAATACTAAAAATATAATATTCAAATTTAAATAGTTAAAAATATTTCTGTGTAAATAATTTAGAATGGACACCATAAGAATGTTCTGACATAACATTTTTATTGCTAGCCAACAGAGAAGTAATTGTTATAGAAGTGTCTTGCTGTACTTGACTTTCATCGGGAACAACGGTAGAGGAAATCTGATTCTTTGCTGTTTCCGACGAAGGGTTTGTTACTTTTTCAATGTGAACATTTTTTTGTGAAGCTATTTTTTGAGTATTAGGTTTTTTTTTCTTCAATGGTACAATTGGGTTCTTATCGTCGCTAAATGCGGAATACTCTGAAGTATCTATTCCTTTAGTCAAAAGTTTTTCTTCAGTATCTAGAACTCTCTCTTTGAGTTTCAAATATTTAATTTGGATATCTTGTAAGTCTCGTACAGTAACCATTAGATTTTGAACCCTAGAATTTAACCGCCTGTTTTTCTGGTGTAATGCTTTCATTTTTTTTGCCATTTTCGATGGCACCGAATGCTTGAAGTGCACTTGAGGCATATAAGGCTGAGATATTGAAGGTGTATTAATTTGTGTACTACTGTTAATGTTTTTCTTCATTACACCTATGCCGGTACTTGACTTATTAGTCGTATTAACATTACTCATAAACATATTATTTGGGCCCTTCAGCGGCGTTGATGTTACAAAACTATTAGGTTCAGCCGTCTTTTTATCTTTCTGGACCGCTTTCATCAACTGAACATCATTCGGCAAACCGTTTTGGTCTCTTTTGGTACTGACCAATAAGTACATTTGATTCGGTACCACCGGTCCCGTTTGTTGGCGTACAAACATTTTTGTTGATGTTTGGGGAGCTGTGACTGTGTCATTTAGTTTCGGTTGTATCTTTTTCAATACTTTATGGTTCAAAGGTGGTTTATTAGCACATACCGAAATTGGACCTCTAGAAATTTCCTTGATTATCATACAATCGTCATTATTACTTTTAGTGATGTTATTTAAATTTACCAAAGAGGAAGCATTTGAACCCTGAATATTCACAATGACAGGTAAAGAATCGGATACACTTTTTGCCCAGGTCACGTGTTTAGCATACGGATGATCCATGGAAGATTGACCGGATGACTTTTTATTTGCAGTTTTATTAATGTAATTTTTTGTGGCTGCTTTTTCAACAACACTTTTTTTAAAATTATTTGGAGATTGTTTTGGAAATTTTGAAGGTATAGCTGATTGACGAATACGTACACACCCATCCTTCAGATAATAATCACTTGGTGTAAAATGAGCACTGCATATCATGGTTTGAGTTGTCGGTTCAAAATTTGCTTCATTTCCCATAGCATTCAACCAACTATTAAGTAAGGTTTGATTACTGAGCGGCAACCTAAAAAAAAAAATTTGCTATAATAAGAAATTTGTCTAAAAATAAATGAGCAACAAGTTATAATACCTGTAAAATTTTCTACCGCCGGGTTTAAAAACATTTTCACAAGAACTGACACAGCAAGAATTACAATCCATGTTATTGAAAATATACAATCTAATTAATTGTTTATGAATCTTACTTGTAAAAGCAGTAATTCTTTTGGAAAAATCTGAAAGTTATAATTACGACATAATTAAAATATATGTAAGTACCAAACATAATTTATTTATTTCAAAGAGCATTAAAAACTTGAGTATAATAACATTAGCTAACAATTGCATCATTTAGATACTTTTCATACAAAAAAAATAATAATATTACCCAAAAAAATATGCATAAGTAAAACGGTAAATGTAAACTATAGTATGAATAATAGTAGGAAAATTACCTTATAATATGATATTGACCATAAAGTTGACTTTTCATAGTAAGTATAATACAAGTTAAAATATTTAACTTTTAGTTTTATGGTATTTGTCATCAATCTTAACTCTCCAAGTACTAATATGAATACTGGATATTATTTTGTTCGCACTAGTTGTGTTTATAAATAATAATACTAGTAATCGAATTCGGTATGAAATTAAACAGAATAATTTGCGAGCCAAGAATTATGAGTGATAACAACATTTGATAAAATGATAAAAGAATAACAGTGTAGGCAATTGGTAGAAGTTAAAATATTTACCATGTTTTCATAAAAATAAATATATTAATTTATGGTTTTTTAAGCTAGATCTTATGCTAATAAAAGCCGAAGTTGTAAGTTGTAACTTTTTAGTTTTAAATAATTATCAATTCACAGTTTATTACGTTATTTATGTTATTAAACTATTAGATAGCATATTGTGGGAAATTAGTAATCACATTGATAAAAAATATGACTATAAGTTAATAAATAATATTTTATATTACCTATTTATAGTATAAAATTATAAACAAGTATATTTCTTCTTCGCTTAATGTGATTTTTATACTCCAGTTTTAAAATCTGGTGACCCACTCAACATAATAACTACTGTCCTATTAGCATCTTACCTCATTTGTTTAAGCTCTTTGAAACTAGTAGCGAATTTACGGGGAGGGGGAATAGATCCCCTCCCTTGACCTTTTTTTTTGTAAGACTAGGTAATAGGTATACACAGAATAGATCTTCATTGATTCATCATTATCTGTTAGGTGACCCGTGATATAAGTCGCATCATGGCATTTAGAGCATTTAACAAATTTTTGGGGGACTATAAATAATTTTGGGGTAACTTACCCCCGAAAAACTTGAAAAGTCTATAATACTTTAGGAAAAATTAAGCTAAAAAAAAATACTTCATATCCCCCTCCTCAAGAAACTTTGTTTGAAACCCTAGTCCTTAATTCTAGTTGTCCTTTCCTAAACCACATCCTCGTTGATGAATAAAATAATTGTCGTCTATTTAAAACTATTTATTTGCAAATGTTTTATTTTTAAATAACCTCTGATCTTCGAGTGTTAGCAATAAACAAAACACGTTAATGTTGCAAACATAATGATAATGTGATATAAATTATAAATCATAATAATCATAGCGTAACAAATAATATTACAAATTACAATGAATTTAAACTAATAAATTTAATATTAAACCATAACCGTTATCGATGTTCAATAAATAAAAATTATTAATATAAAATAATGTGTACATTTTTTTTTGCCTATTGAGCCACCCAATTTTTATTTCACCACTAGCTGTGTTACCCCTGCTTCACCCGGCTGTTATCCGACAATGTTATTATCACCATTGTTATTATAGTAAATGCTCTGGCGTAAAAAAATCCGACCATGAAATAAAGTTAAGAATATCCACTCTTCATGCAGATACATCTATAACAAAAGTACAAAAGTCGAGTTTGAGGCCAGCCTTTTCAAAAAATACCATGCCAGAAACCTTCGCGGGAGTGTACTCAACAACTTCCCAAAGTTCCATGCCGATCGGATGAATGGTGTAGTAGTGCATAAAGGACAAGCAGACATACATTTGTTTTTATATTATGTATAGATTATCACACAATAAACGTCTGGTGTTGATAATTATTTCACCGCCACATATTTGATATTATGTTTACTATAGTTTTGTATAGATCACTGATCATCTTAGTGTTAATGTAATAATTAGCATGCTGTATGTAATATAATAGTATTAAATATTTAGTTGATCAGACATGTACGGTATAAGCATGTACTGCTAGAAAAAATCAAATGCAAATATTTACAATCATTAAGATTAAATTAAAAAAGTCAACCAATTGTGAACTTATTAATCTGATCTTATTTTTTTCATACTATTATAATACAAATAGGTATAATAAAAAACAAATAATAGAAACGTTAAAACCCTTTTACAGGATCGGCCGTACTGCGTACATATAAATATATAATTAATAAATATATGTGTTAACCTGTTGTAATATTATGCATATGCACTGCGATCGCACAGAAAACAGATTGGAGTCTAAAGGAAAATGTGGAAATTCTATTAAACATTCATAAGACTAGAAAGTAAGTAATAATATACAGCATAGTTTATTCAATAAAATTAATTCGTGGTTTTTAAATTGACCAACTCGAAGGAGTTAAAAGTAAACAAAATAAATTCTATATAATTTTCGATTATCGATAAATAATTATATACTTATAAGTTATAAGTAATATAATTTTGTCTTGTCTTTTCATTTTTTCGAAGTTATTATTGTAATAAATTCTGAAACATAAATAATTTTTTATTTTAACAAAGTTCTTAGTAATAAATATCGCATTATAACAATGATGTCACAACGTAAATTATGAATTGATTAAATTGTTTAATGAGGCAATTATCCATAGATATATAGATACATAGATATAATAATTAATATATATTACTATATTACATAGACTTCATTTTTTCTATGATTTTTCCATAGAAGCTTGGCGACCATATGCAGTGTGGTCAATGTTTATACGGTGTTATCAATATTTCGTTGCGATATAATAATAGTAATTCACCTTATAGTAGTGTTCCTTATACTAAGTAAACCTTATATCTCATTACCACAATGAAATATTGACCACACGGCATATTATGACCACCAAGCTTCATTTTTGAGAATACATCTAAATACATAGTCGACTATCTATAGTAATATCACCTAAGTTTATTGCTTAAATCCAACTTATTTTTAAATATGGAAATTGTGTAAATATGAATACAACAAAAGCCCCGAAGAGTGTTACAGAAAGCTCTCAAAACATTTATAAATGTTTTTTACTTGAAAAATAATAAAAATTTTAGATTAAGTTTTTCTTTATTATTGCATAAGTATTAAATCTGACATAAGCGTAGTATTTAACATGGAAAAATCATTCGGGATCTTAACTGCATTTATGCTAAACTTTTGCTCAAACAAAGAAAGAAAATAATTTAAAATAAAAATCTCAACAAATTAGAGTATTACTTTTAGTCATTTGAAACCGATTTACAACTTTCCAACACAAAAGTCTCCATAACCCATAATAGTGCATCCTAATGTTTTTAGAGATATTCCAATTTCATGTTACAGTAATTTTGTTTATGAAATAATTGTTTTTTCTAAAAAAGCTTCAAATAAAATCGTGCTCGCGTTAAATAATCAACAATTGTATTTAATAATTAAGTAAAAAATTTTGGTTTAAGTGGTAGTTTTTTCAATAGGAAATTTTCGAATGCATAAAAATCTGCATCATATATTTCTGTTTAAAAAGTAGAGTGATATCAGTTTTGAATAAACACTTTTTGAGATATTAACGATTAATGTGTTACATGAGAAAAATGAAGGGATGAGTGGATGTAATTTATCTTGACCTTCAAAAAGCCGTTGCTCGCGTGAGCTACCCAATACTTTTCTATAACCCTATGTATATAATACATATTTTAAACAGATCGACGTGGATTTTTTTTTAAATACTTGTCATTTTCAATAAAACTCATCATTATTACCTTTATAATCTATTTTTTTGTCGCCGTTGAGATCCGCTTCTTTAATCATGTCTTCGATTTCTTCATCGGTAAGTCGTTCTCCTATACTATACATAACACGTTTCAATTCATCAAATGTTATGAAACCATCGCCATTCTTATCGAAAACGTTAAAAGCGTGATGCATTTCTTCCTCCCCGTCCGCTGACTTTAGTTTTCTAGCCATCATTAGTAGAAATTCGTTAAACTCAATACTGCCGTTTCCATCTTGGTCTACTTCGTTGACCATACCACGTAAATCGGTTTCTTTGAAAATACACATGTAATACATCATTTAAAATGTTGTTTACCATTTAAAACTAGTTTTATTACAAATATTATATAAGTGTAATTTTTGTTTTACAAAGGAGTTCTATCTCTTGAAAAACATGCGTTATAATAAAATATAAATATATAAAAATATAATAAAATAAAAATAAAAAAAATTGGTCGTCATCCAAACAGGTAAAAATATAAACATTAAAATATTATATTCAATATTATATAAGCTACAATTAATGCATTAATTGTTTCTTACTTATGTATACAATTAGTTTGTTACATTAATGTTTTTTAATAAAGGCTTAAAAATAAAGATTGAAACCTATACTGCCCTCTTAAGCAAAAATGCCGTAATAAAAAAAAAAATTGTTTTTTAAAAAACCGATTAAACCAAGTAAGAAACTATGGTATAAATCTACTTTACCGGACACCCTTTTTTTCGATTTTGATAGTATTTTTCACGCTGATTACGAATATGTAAAAATTTTGCGCCGCTCGCACTTAGTTTGGAAGTTACAGAAGTTTAAAGTTTGCCGATATCGACTTATGCGCGCGCCCAGCGCCGCACGTCTACTTGCGGCCGCCGGGTACATCATTCGACGATCGCCGCTCTCGACATAGCGGGCGCGCAACACTGGGCTAGGTTTTGTGTCGTTAGGTCGCTAACCGCTTCCAGGGTAGTTTCAGGTTAGTTTTTTTTATTCCCTTTAGGTGAGCTATTTTTTCCTCTGGGGGTTTGGGGGCGTGAGCCCCCATCCTAACGAAGCGTCCTGAAGGGACTCGAGTCGGCTCCCGGAGCCGGCAGGCGTAGGGAGTTGCTTTATTTAATTATGAGTTTTTTTAATTAAAACTAAGTTGACTTAATTGACTTATTTGATAGAACTTATACTAAATACAAAAAAAAAAAGATTACGACGGGCGGGAGGCAAGTAGACGAGGGGGGTAATTAGTATAACGAACGCCTGCTATATCGAGAGCAGCGATCGTCGAATGATGTACCCGGCGGCCGCAGGTAGACGTGCGGCGCTGGGCGCGCGCGTAAGTCGATATCGGCGAACTTTAAATTTCTGTAATTTCCAAACTAAGTGCGAGCGGCGCAAAATTTTTACATATTCGTAATCAACGTGAAAAATACTATCAAAATCGAAAAAAAGGCTGTCCGGTAAAGTAGATTTGTTCCCAATTAGGAGGGCAGTATAGAAATATAATATGTCAGTTGTTGCATAACATTAATTAGTATTCAAATTATATTATTAGCATGTTTTCTAGTACTATTCATTTGTGGTATATTTTGTGTTATTGAAGCGAATATAGAGTTACAATATATTTTAAGGGAAATAATAATGAAAGAAGTATATTTTTAAGAGAGAATAAGCTACGTAAAAGCGCAATATATCTTATAGAATTAAAATTTAAAGCCCAGCTACATCTTTAATATTATAACATGTATTATAATAATTATTGTTGTTCTAATATTTACTCACGAGTTGGCCTCTGTCCTAAAGATCTCATAACAACTCCAAGTTCTGCTTCGGTAATTTTCCCGTCATGATCTTTGTCGAATAACATAAACGCTTCTTTGAATTCTACATCAAGTTTTAATACACGCATACATAGTATAAACCAATAAACGTTATTACGGTATATATATATATATATATATATATATATATAGTATACAAATTATATTTTATAAAGCAAAGATAATTAAGAATAATGACCTGAAAAAGAGTTAATTAGATAGAAAATAAAGATAATTACCTGCTACTTGATCTTCTGTCAGACCAAACTCATTCTGAAACAAAATATCAAAATCATTTTTTCGTTATTCGTAATATTCAATAACAAAAAAAATATATATATATATATATATATATATATATATTGTGAAGAATTATTTTATTAATTACATCAAAACTAAAACAATAACAATAGTGAATAGAGTATATTATATGGTGTACATTGTACTTACAGAATGTGTCCTAATGTCGTATCTACTTGTCAATTTTCTTATTCTAGAATATTCATTTGTGTAATGATCACTGTTTTCGCTTTTTTTTGTACTCATCGTACGACTGTAAACAATTATATTTTAAAAACTTCTATAATTGTACAATATTTTCGTTCAATTAACAGAGCTGAGTAATATTTAACTATTTAAAATGCACGATAAAACTTAAACAGCACATACACATAAGACGGAATATGTTATTTGGCACTTAACGTCGACTTGGAACTTTATGTATAATAATAATAATAATATTATTATTACATATACTCTCCCACTTTATTATTTCATATTTCAAAATAGTGGAATGTATATTTTTAGACAGAAGCGTTAAACAGCGCAAAACTGAAAATAAGGATTAACGTTGGAAGGGTAAACGGTATCTTATACTTTAACTCATAAGTTATCAACACATTTTAGAGTTCGGTTAAAATTTAAAATATATTAAAGAGTTTTATTTGTTTTCTAACTATTTTTCGTTTAATTGTTGAGATAGTTTAAACATTTATATTATTATACATCTTAATGGTTATAATTTCCTATTGATGTATTTTATCCGTGTTTTTTTTTAAAGTAAAAAGACTTTTTTTTAAATTACTTAGTTGCAAAATGTTGGTATTAATAAATTTTCAAGACTACTTAGATGATGCAAAAAACATTATTGAAACGGAATACAAAATAGAAGTGAACTATTATTTTATTGATAAATTGACAATCATATAACGTGTATTTACGACCATTTTGATTGTTATTAAGATGTAAAATTTTCGAAATCTAATTTTTGGTTCTAAAATAGCAGGTAAATATAGGCAGCATTATATGAGCATAAATAATTATAGTTGTGCAACAGTGTTACATTCATGCACATGTAGTAGTATGATTTTGCGCCTGATAAGGAAATTTTACAAGTGGTTTAAATCCTACAATGAAAAAAAAAAACACCGTTTAATGTTTTTCATCCCAGATTCAACTTTCAGGAACAGAAAGTACAATATATTTAAAAACATATTGTGTATCGATTTTTACAAACTTAAATTAAAAAACACACAAATAAGCATAACTATTAAAATATGTATAATATGTGTAATAAATTACAAATTGTTTATCAATTGCAGCACACTATGTTTTATAGATTAATCCAGATTCCAGTGTAATAATATAACACTATGGGTTTGTCGTTGGTTGTAGTCTGTGGCTTACTCAAGTCACAGTTGTTCGAGAAACGTTGCACTGGACATTTATTTACCATTTAATGTTATCAATAACCAGGTTAAAGGTTGACAATTACCAAATGGTAATCATTTTCACATTTTCATTTTTAGTTTTTACCAAAGCAGAGCACAATATTACCTGTGCAATATAGTTACAATATTTTATACGTTTAAATTTCAATTTCAGTTTATTATTATAAATTGTAAATTATTGAATAAGTTAAAACTTAACTTACGTTAATAATTAAGCGATACGGTAAATCAGTTCGAATATTTTTATTTTTGGGGTTTATTGTTTAGGATAAGATTATATTTGTTGTGGTCCATCGTGTATTTATATAATTTGATTTACATTGTTAAACAATTTTTTTTTTTTTTTTGACTTCGCTTATAAAGGCGAATAAAAATTTGCTAAATGGTATTATTTGCTCGCGTTTTTTTTAGAAACTTTTTACCCGTAAACCCAGGTAAAATGATGCATAACAAATTTTATAAATAAATTGCTGTCGATCGAATTGAACATTTTTATTAGTTTATAGGAAATCGTCGATTCGTCCTTTAATTAACGTACGTACAATGGTGTCCGATCCAATACTCCCACAAAAACATGCGTTGTCTGAAGATGATGAGTCGGTTTCCGCTAAGAAACAGTGTATAGAACCTAGGATCAAAAGGAAGAAATGTGCTATATTGTTGGCATATTCTGGACTAGGATATTTAGGTTTACAAAGGTATATATTCGTGTACTATTCTTAAAAATGTTGTTAACGTGTATAGAAAAAATAAACTATATGAGGCTTTTAATATTCTTAGTGGCAACCCATGGCATGATGGTTTCTAGCTTACTCAGTCAAAATCCATCCCTCAAGCTAATAGTCATAGCTAATGTAGCTTTAACAAAAACCAAAAAAATAATGACTTATTTTTAAAGAGGCTTCTCTAAAAATAATTATAATAATATGTCATGTCTAAACGACATTTACAGATTTTTTTTTCCTTGTATAATAACACTACAATATTTTATTAAAGGAATAAAGGAACAAAGACAGTAGAAGAAGAGTTGTTACTAGCGTTAAAAGTCAATAACTTAATAACTGATGAGGGTTTTGAACAGATTCAAACGATGCAATTTCAACGAGCAGCTAGAACCGATAAAGGAGTTTCAGCCCTGCGTCAAGTAATTTCACTTTTACTACGTAAGATGGTTATTTTATATTAAAAAAAGTATTGGCTTTTCCAACTTAAATTGTAATCAATTTTTTTTTTATAATCGGACAGCTGAAGATGTACAAAAAGAAATGATAAATGCATCTTTACCCGACCAAATTAGAGTACTAGATATAAGAAGAGTAACTAAAGGTTTCAACAGTAAGAATTCATGCGACGGACGAACATATTCATACACATGTCCAACATTTGCATTTGCGCCACCAGAAGCATCGTTAGATCTTAACTATCGTATTGATTCGACTGTTAGTAATAGAATTAATGAGATTGTAAAGAATTTTCTTGGATGTCATAACTATCACAATTATACATCTAAAAAGTAATAAACAAAAAAAAAGTTATTAGAATGTTTGTTTAATAAATGAAGTAAAATCTATTTAAACACTCCCATGTATGATTCGTAGAAAGCCAGGTGATCCCAGTGCTCAAAGATATATGGTTAGTTTTTACTGCGATAAGCCTTTTGAAAAAGATGGTGTTGAATTAATATCTTTATATGTCAGAGGTATTCTTTGTTTATATTATCTCATAACAATATTATTTGTAATCTTATTATCGTATTTATTATTATTATTTTTAGGTCAGAGTTTTATGCTTCATCAAATACGCAAAATGGTTGGAGTTATTATTGCAATTTGTCGAGGCGTGGCCAAGCTTGATGTAATAGAGCGTTCGTGGAATCACGATCGTTTAGATTTACCCATCGCGCCTGGTTTAGGTTTAGTTTTAGAAGAAGTTCACTATGACAAATACAATGAACGATTTGGCAGTGACGGTATACACGACCGGCTAGATTTTGTTGAGCTCAACGAACAAGTTCAACAATTTAGAGAGAAACACATTTTACCTACTATAACAAAAGTAGAAAAAGAAGAAAGCTCGTATCCTTTTGTAATGTTTTTGGCAGTGTTTGTAGACATTTTGACATAAATATCTTAAATGTTTGGAGTATTCGGTCTCTAGGAAAAAGCTTCAGTTATTTTGCAGTTAAAAGTTGTTGTCATACCATTTTATTACGGCTCTAAGTATTTTAAATTATGAAAACATTAAATAAAGTTAGCATTTTACAATTGACGGTCTTGTATTATTTCTTATATTTTAAAACTAAACATATTATTTTATTTAGATGCTTATACTTTTTTTTAAAAATCACTATCAAGTATTCAACTTGTACAGGGGAATGTCCAAAATCCAAAACTAAAAAAAAAAACTAATTCAGTCAGTAAATACATTTTGACAAAATTTTAATTTGTTTTCTCTGAGAATTTATGTTAAATAAACATTTTTAAAATTGTTTATGTTCGACAAGAACAATGTGGTCAAGAGCTTGTTCTTTAAAAAGAACACATTAATAATTTTTAATACTTTCTTTCCAAACACTGTTTTTGTTTGATTTATTTATTTAAATAATATTTGTGTATTATATTATTTTATTTTAATTTGTTTGGAAGTTATTCTGCCTTAATCGTTATTTAAAAGAATGCTGTTATGGTTGGAGCAGCTGCCACTACATACATTTGATTTACGAAATGAACATCGTCACATGAAGTCTGATACTAACAATGACACTAACAGTCCAGGATTGGCGACTTTACAAGCAGCCGCAGAATTAATAGAAAAAGAAGAATTAGACTCGTTAGACACAAGCGGAGACATACCCCCTGACAACCTTTCGACCCTCGCTGATGCCGCACAAGCTCTAAGCTCTGAAAATAAAGTATAAAGTAAATTGGACAATTAAATAATACATTAATATATATCTTTTATAACATGTATATTGGCTTTACATTTTTTTTCTTCTAAATACCTATCTGTAAATGGACTGTACTGTACTCTTTTGTTCCATTTATAAGCATATTATTGCTTTACCTAGTTCCTCATTTATTTACGATAATTGCAAAAACCATACAAAATAGGTATCAATATCTACAAATATAATTACTACTATACTACTGTTTTAACTTTTTTTCTCTAACTATATTCAAATATTGTTGTAATTTCGATAATACATCTTTTAATAAATTGCTTAGGAGTCTTAAATGTTCAAATTGTAATTTCATAGAATTATTTAATTGCCACTCTGTCCCAATGATAAAAAAACATTACTTTTTCATAATATTGGGATTATTAAAACTTGTTTAGGATCATTAAATGGATTGTAATTACGCAATTTTTTTTAAATATTTTATTTGATACAACAAACATGTATATATATAGTATATTAATTAAATATTAGCATATATTTTGACTATTTGTTGTCTGCTTAAAGCAAATAAATAAAAAATAAAATGCTATTCGTTTATAATAACAAAACAAAAATGCTAACAATACAAAGAATCAGTCTCAACAATTGAGCTATTAAGAAATAAATATCACACAATATATTTTTTTAATAAGAAAATAATTTTATGTAAAAAAAAAAATTAGGATTTGAAAAAATAGGCTTGAGTACACAAGATGGAAGATCAAGAAATATTTTTTTGAGAAACTCAAATCAGTCTAAATACTATTAAAGCGCCATTCGTTTTGCCGAAACAACATCCGTAGTATCGGTATAACTTCTCCTCTTTTTAGTCGTCACAAGAACAGGTGATTGGAAACCAGGCGAAGAACTACGATATCCTTCATCCACAGACATATTATATTTACGATGCTGCATAACATTCCTTCTGCAAAGTGGTATTTTTCCATGTATTTCATAATTAGAATTAATTAATTAAGTATATAGTTATTTACCCTAGAAGTGAACAACATTTTACGAGATCTTTTTTCAAATACCCCGTTATGCTACGTAATTTTGCCGTCCAACAAGGTACCATTTCAAGCGTGTGTCTGGTAGTCAGAACAATGCTGGCCGCTACCATAGAAGGATTATATGAAATCAATTTGGTGTCTGCAATAAAAAATATAAGGAAATTAAAAAAAATTACATGAATATATTGATTAATTATTAAGTACTATTTTTAGTGAGGAGATTTAGCACAAAACCAAAATTTTTGAAATTGTTTGTGAACCTGAAATACAACAACTACAGCCTATTGAAACTCTCATGTTATTTAAACGTAAGACTTTGAATCGATTTTGTCACTGGTTAATATTTAGATATAGTTATGAAATGTTGAATATTTTTTACATTTTTTTTCAACATATCAAAAAATATAAATGTATACAATAATAAAATTAAACAAAATACTGACTTTCTAACGATAAATCCTGGTAAAAAAGAATCATGGTCTGAAATTTTTCTTTTATCATATCTGCTGCGGGATGATTGCAAAAATCTCTGTCGGTGTAAAAATATTCTTTATAAATTTCTATAAAATGTGCAACCGTTGGCACAGTGACACTATAGTCGAAGAACATCAGAATTTTCATTTCCACCTTTCGAAAATGCAAATTAGTAACATCTTTACTAATGACATTGCGCATGCTATTCAATTTTGGTATACTTAAACAGTGCTCCTCAATTTTTGCTATCGACAAATGAAACAAAATGTAGGCAATAACAATTTGTGAAATACAATTAAAAACCCACACTTTAGCAATTATCACTTACCGGCTAATGTTAAACAAGCAAACGATACTAACATGATAGTGTCAAATTTTAAATCGTGATGATCCATAAAGAAATCTAATAAGGTAACAGCTAAATGAATACTGACATTTGACATTTCACATCTTTTGGAAATATTTTTTATGGTTTTTAATAATATAGGTCGCATGTGAATCTGAAAAATTGTACAAAGCCTTTATGACTATTTGCGTTTAATTATTATTTCATTACATAAATAATACAATTATAAAACCTACTTTGTAGTAAATGAGGGACCTAAACCAATTGAAAATCATGATTTTCTTAAAAAATATTTTAAAAAACAAATGTAGACACAAAAATGCTTAACTTTTGCCTACAAGTACTTTGTATCATTTTTCGACCCAAAAATATTTTATAGATTTAACAACCGTTAAAACAAATTTTTTTAAAAAATTATAGGTATTGTAGTACATTTAATAAAAAACAAACGTTTGCCCTTTTTCGACTGAATTGTAAGTTAATTGATTGAATACTTTTTTTAGTTAATAAAATAAATTAGATATAATATTATATAAATATAGAAGTATGATTTATATGTTGATTTGACGCTCTTTTTTTTTAAATTTTATAATTGTATTTACCATTTTTAAATCCAGGAACATGTAGGTATTAGAAAGTGTTGCATTATATTAATATCGCCTATGGATAGTATAATATTTAATCTACATGCCAATAATAATATTAAAGCTACAAAATATGGTTGAAATTATAAATTACCTGCGGTGATCTTGCTCCATAGATCATTCTCCATTTTACTTCTCGACATTGAAGGTACGAATGTATATTATAACTATATTCAGTCTCCCACCATTTGTCAGTATGTTTCTGGTGGTTTAATGCCTTGAGTAAAATAATTCAATATAATTAGAACGATAAACAAAAAATATATACTTGTATAAATCATAAATAGTAAATTGTGTTGAAATATGTTCTATCGGATTACCCAACATTAAAAACATTTGTTTAGGGTTAAAGAATTTTTTCAAATTCCTTATTTTTAGCAAAATACTTATAAAAGAATATAATGTGTTGGGGACCGTAATATGGTTAGGTATTCATCACTACACGACTTATTATTACAACTTGCTTGGTATTTCTCAAAAAAAATTTTAAAGACTTTTTTGGCAGTATTATTTGTACAATATTAGTATGTTGAGAGGTAAAAAGTTGTAAAATGGTCAAATAAATAATAAAACTGTCAATTGATAAATGATTGTTAAAATACAAATTTGAAATCACTAGAATATGGAAAAAAAAAATTCACTTATTTCAAAGTAGAGTTGGTCAATACTATGAATGTAATTTAATTATTTAGTTTATTGACAATAAATGCTAACAAAAAATATTATTGGAATTAGTAAATTACTAGTTCCACAGCAAAATAAAAAAAAGTTGATAATGATATTTTTAGCTTTAAAAACGTTTTAAGAAACTGAACAGCACAACCAAACGAAAATTACCTAAAAAATTGTTACATCGAGTTTGCATCATTTTTACACTTTCTTTTATCTAACGTCAGCAAATTGTGTTATTTTGATTTTCCTACTAATGTTTTTTTTTTCTAATAGCTGGTTTATAGTTCAATAAACTATCATTAAGTGTTACCTAGGTGACTTTTGTAAAGGTATATTGTGATTTGTGTCAAGTATACTTTTTATCAGAACTAAAAAAAAAGTGTACGGAAAAATTAATTGATAGAACCGTGCGTGCTCGTTGTTAGCTCTTACCATTACTTCTTGTGTACGTAAGTCGGCCCTGTGCTTGAAACTTCTCTCTTGGCCGTTATTCGAAGTTCAAACGTGCGAAGTGCGATATTAGACGATTAACGGTCGTACTGTTTTGTTTTCAAACGGTTCCCGTGATAAGCGTGTGCACGTTCGGTGGTTTTTAGACGTTTGAAATAATAATAATTAATTCACTAATATAATAATATACTGTTTACGATAATATTTTACCGAGTTTTAACGTGAAAATTATTTCGTTCAAAAGCACACAACCGGGGGACACATCACACAAGTAAACTTAAGCCGTATAATGTAATGTAAGTTGTAACAGGTCTATAATATTATTAACGTTATAGACCCGTCCACCGCTCTGTGACAAGCTAGAAAAATAAATCACAGTATAATTTTTATATTACACATGTAATAATATATATATATATATATATATACACATGTAGTAATGACAATAATAAAACCTACAGTGTTAACCCCCCTTGTCGTATAACCTATCGATTTTCACGGACATTAGATAAATATGTTGAATATAATAACTACTAATATAATTACTATGGGAAATCCTAGGGCCCTGTGCCGACACCTAAAAAATTATCAATTTCATTTCGCTAATCGACTTGCATAAACTTAATATGTAAATAACAATTGTATATAATTAACTGTTTTTAAAGATAATTGTACTAAATAGGTACTATTCAATAGTATGTAAGATAACCTGTAATTTATAGCCAATGGTCCGTGTAACTGAGGCTTTCGATCAATAAATTGTTTTTATATATATATGTAATTACTTATTTCAATTTTACACCACTATCCTTTTTAGATTTTGTTATCGTTAACGATTATTTCCATTTTTCACAGTCAATATCACCTGTGAAGTACCTGCACTAAAAACGACTAGACATTAGACCATCGTCCGTCTTTTCGTGATTTCAGATTTGCGTCGGCACTTGGCTGTAGAAAAAGTTGTTTTTTCTTTATTAAATGTCAAATAAACACATTGGTTATTTATAGATAGTCACACTATAGAAACTACTCTAGCTGTAATATTATTATATTGCCAGTAGCATTGATTTTATAATAATACACAGATAATAAGTGCTATACACAAAAATGGTAACATTTGTATGCGGAATTCCCGCTGGTAAGAGGAGATTCTACCTACGCTCGTCTGTAAACATTGACGAGGGTACCTCTGCTGGCATCAATATTCGGGAAATAGTTTTCTCCAAAGCATGCATGTATAATTAATCTAATTATTATTGTTGTCTATTATTATTATTTTACTACAATAGTCAGACCGCAATTACAATTTTAAAGCACGGTACGCCCAATTTTTACCGTCTTCTTTTAAAATTCTGTTTCTCCGATCTCAACTTCAACTTTTTTCATAATCTTTTTTTCTTCGTTGTTTCATAAACCCTCATGTTATTTCTGACAAGTGTTAATGTTATCCCCCTTATTATTAAACATACTTAAGAGGATTACATGCGATCGGTTTTTTGTAGTTTTAGACCAAAATGCCTAAAACTAAGAAAAAAAAATTCCTTCTCAGATGCCGCATCGAAGCTAAAATGTTGACTACTTGAGATGGTCCGATCTAACCTATCCGAAGATAGTTTCTATTCTGTAAAGATATATCAGTTCTTTGGCAACTTTACTAGGTTTTGTATAAAACGGTTTTTTGATTTTTCTCTTTTTTTTATACAAAAAATTGGGTTTTAATATTCAAAAATGGAAAATATAACTTTTGGTCTAAAATAAGCCAAAATGATTTTTTACTCACAGAAACAATTATACAAATTAAAAATAATAACTTGAAGCTTTTACAAATTAACCAGAAAATTAACTGACATGGTAGAAATTTATTAAAACCTTTTTTTTCTTAAATATTGCCTATTCAAAACTCCTTAAAAAAAGACCGCATGCAATCTCCTAAGGCCTCTGGATACCGACCATTTTTACCAGTTTTATACAGGCAATATTTAAGAAAAAAGTGGTTTTAATAAATTTCGACCATGTTAATTAATTTACCGGTTAATTTGTATAAGCTTCATGGTATTATTTTTAATTTAAATGATTTTGTCTATGAGTAAAAGCCATTTTAGTTAATATAATAATACATTTTTGTCCATCACACAGGCTGAACCAGTGGTCCGATAAGTAATCTGAAAACAGATTTGAATTTATCATGAAGTTTACTTGATGTTACATTTTTTTAATTATGTGTTGTTTTCACAACGAACAAACGCAAATGAATGGTTAATAAATTGATTCAAAATAACTAGCCAAGTGAACGTATTGCCAATAAATAGATTAAGGCCAATTTTTTTCACTAAACTGTTGTCAAACAAAAAAGTCACAGCAATTAAAAAACAACATAAATATAACTTTTTATTTAAAAAAAAAACTTTAAATTCATGATTTGTCATGAACAAATTATATACTATTATCATTAACCAACGTGACCATTTCAGCACCAAAACTAATTGATAAATTAAAAATATAATTATCGATAAAAAAAGTCTCATATTCACTTGTACTGTCTACAGTTTAGTCTTAAAAATAAACACATACAAAGTGTTCTTTACCAATATGTCTAATCCAATCCGTCTAAGTATGGCATTCGTGATATTGATAAAACAAATCATACAAAAATAACCACACTTATACCTATTAAGTGAGCCTAGGATCTTGATATAAATATCACAAAATATTTTCAGTCGTTTGTGTACGTGTCGACGCCATTCGAAAACACTAATCAGCCAGTCAGCAAAGAGATCATCTACGATTGTCACATGCCGGCTGAGACGCTGATAGAAATGGCCGATTCGTTGTCCGTTAAGCTTATGTATTCCAAAACAAAACAGTGTAGTGAAAATTAAAAAAAATTTAAATTCTCATTAGTAGTTTAGATTAATTATCTACCTGTGCAGAGTTCAATAAAATGCATTAATCGTTTTTTAAATGTATTTTAAGTTTTAAATATTTTGGATCATATATTTATTTTATTTTATTGATGTTAATTTTTTAAAAATGTTATCACAATTTACTTTTGCCGTGATACTTGGTTAAACCACGAACTATATAACTATAATATAGTCTATGGTTATAGTTAAACAGTCTAGATATTAAGTCCATATTTTTTTGGGGAAAATAATGGATTTTTTTTTTATATTGCATTTAGGAGCACAAACCTGTTATATTATAACAACTTAAGTATATATTTTTTTTGCGTTATAAAGTTTGTATGTCGCAACAACGACAAAATATTTATAGCAATTAGCTGCTGAAAGCCAGCAACAATGTGGTGCTCTAGAGTAGGTTCTCGTGAGTCTGGTCATTGATTAAGTACAATTAGATGACACACGTCATGTTAAAAGTCCGCCCCTTATAAACGGCAGTCAGAAATTCAGTAGTATGGAAGCCGAACCATAAAAATCACTAAATCTGTAGTTCATTCCATTGAAAAGTAGTCATTGATGGAAAATCATTTCAGGAGGGTTTAGAATACTACCTCCTCCCTCAAATCGCCCTCGTTGCTTTGAGTAATTGAGACTACAATATATTGTTCACCCCCCCCCTCCCCATTTTTTCATTACCAGAAGGTAATTAGATAAAATAAATAACACTACACATTACTGCAACTTCTAACGAAGTGATTACTTGCCCCCCGCGTCTACCTGCCTTTACGCACCCCCCTATAGCCCCTACAGGACGGCCGGTCACAGTGTTTTAGCACTCGCTCGCTTCGCTCTGCTAAACTAAAAATATCCTATGTTTGCGGTCCACACTAAGGCAACATTCATTAGTTGCCACATGTTTCACTTTTTATCAAACATGGAAACAAATGGAAAGCAACATACTGCAACACATTAATGTTGGTCTATGTTACCTTAGTGTGGACCAGACTTTACTCGCCGACCTCGCAGACTTTTGGACATCACAGACATCACAAAATTTGTAAATTTTGATATTTTTTGTTTTTTATCTAAAAAATATACTTCCGTCTACTTAGAAAACGCTTTATTTGATTTAATGACGAGTGAAGTATAGGCAATTTTTTTTTACAAAATCCTTATTTAAAGGTTGAACTGTGACGTGTAATTATTAGTTCTGTAATTAGCACTCTTTTTCGGAAATTATTTTTCAGACTACCACATCTTTGACAGCGATTAAAAAAAAAATTCATACAGAGTTTCGCATATTCTCTTCTATCGACTAAATAATAATCGTAGAACATATTCTTTACATATTTAAAATACCTAATGAGAACTTTATTTAGATTCTCTCGTCGGTTTTTTTATATTTTTAACCCAACATTCACAATTTATAGTTTAATTCTGACATTTTTTTACTATTTTATGTGCTTGTATTTAAGGTAAAATTTAAGATTTCTAAAAAAATCAATGAGAGAACCTATTTCACTTGATTAATAAGACACTCTTATAATTCTCATATTAAATTGTAGGTATTTGGACGTATTAGTCAATATTTAATTAGGTTTAATAAACAAATTTTCACAGTAAAAATATATTTGATATAAATTGACCTTATAACATCTTATGTAATTGAACTTACGATTCAGTTTAGTCAATATATTTTATTATTGATTAAATTATAACAGAAAAGGCAATGTTTAATTGCTATTTTGTCATATGAAAATTTATTTGTTTAAATTAAATGTTTAACAGAGATTAATAACAACCACAGATGTAGTTAAATAATATAATAGAAAAAAAAATTATTAATGGCGTTCGACCGTCCATGCCCGTCTATTATATGGGAGCGTCGAACGCCACCAGAAATTCTTATCTTAATATTGCAGTGTGTGATTAGTGATACACGATATAATCTTTGATCCGGGTCGGCTGTGTTTTCTTCGACACGGCAAAAATAAATAAAAATGTAAATAATTATTATTCTTAAAAATATATTTTCCTTATTAGTTATTTATGAGTTACGTTGGTGTGAATTGAAAATGCATGTATAAACATTGACGTTTTCTTTAAATTTAATTGATGGATATTTTTTTAATACTATAGAATACTATTAAAATAGGTCGTGTTTCCAAAATTGACATTGCCGTGGGCTATTTATTTGTATTTAATCAATGGTCTGGTTAAGACTTCTACACTAAGTGCCTGTTTTACAATAGTAGTTTAAACTCTAATCGGAGTTGAAACCTGGGGCAAATGGAAAATACCGTATTAATATCGACTATCATTGGTTTATACCTTAATCCTATTATTACTATTTTAGTATAGAAGTTTGTTTGGACCGTAATTAAATGTATTTAGCATAATCTATGACATAAATGGTTTATTTATCCATGACATTCTGACCGATATTTTATGATAACAAAAACAGCCGTGACTACCAGCGCGAACTGGAACCAAAACTCGTATTTTTGTGATAAGCTAAGAACATACCTTGTTAGTTATATCATGACTATGCTGATTACGATAAATTTGGTTATTCCATATCAGACATAATGGACACACTGTTCCCATGTGTTCAATTCCATATACGTTTTTCCTATACTTTTTTTTTTATTGATAATATATAACATTGTAATATAATAATTATCTCAGCGGCTGCAATCTGCATGATTCATTTCGATAAAACGCACTCGCCTGTCGCAACGTTTCAGAATATATGTTTTTTTTTCATTTCTATCTGTTTTTAACCTACAGTCAAAATTTCGCCAATTAACAAAATTCAGTTAGGGTGGTGTTCCACTTCTAAGGTAAGCGTTCGTTAATTGTTGTTACCAGTCTAATTACAAACGTGAAAACCTATCGTTGTCTGCGGACGAATGTAAAAAGTTAAATAAATATATATAAAATATCTAGTTAGCACCAGCTTTCTCAGCATTACAATACTTCCTCTACACAAAATGTTATCACACATCGTTTTAATATGTTTACCCTTTAACGATATTAATACTCTTTATGTTAAGCATTTTGCACTACAGATTTGTACAGCTTCTACTAATACTATTTTTAGAATCTGGATTTGGCAGAACTTAACACTATTGTGAGAATTAGAGTTGTGGCCACATTATTGCTTTATGTTACTGTTTAGATACATATTTTCAATTAGTTACTGAGCTGATTAATCTTATCTTTTACAATGAGATTGTAATAAACATATATTTTAATATTTATTATTTATAAGATAATATTTACCTGTCGTATATATTTCTACTGTTTAGATAAAATGTATTGATTATCTGTATTTGCGTAATATATTTGTTAAATTAGTAATTATTATTCTTAAATTGACGTACAATATCTGCATATAGTATAACATACATTTGTATATAAATAATATATATATTTAAAGCCTTTATAATGACAAAAATATTGTAATAAAAAAACAAAATTCAAAATCAATGTAATAAAATCAATTATGGAATTATTTATTGTGTGTAGTTAAGCATAATTAAAGTTATAATGTTATAAAGAATTTTTTATTGTTGCAATAATTTTTTTTAGATATTTTTTTATTTAAAATAACGATAATAAAAACTATAGCACTCTAAACAATAATCTTTATATCTAACGAAGGGAGGATAATCAGGATCTAAAACATTGACATTTTAAATAAAATTATGACAACATTCTAACTAAAAATAAATTTTTTTTTATGTCTTTATTAGGTTTAATTAAATCTAATCATTAGGTAATATGTAATTTAAACAAAACACTTCACCTGTTGATGTGGTTGTTCATAACTTTTGTTTAATTAGTGATATTTGTTTTTACCGTTGAAGTGACTTGTTCTCTATAATATTTATTTTAATTTATCTCGGTACGTGATTAAGATTTATGGTATATATATATATATATTTTACTATAATTAATAGTAAAAAAAGAAAACTACAATTATTTATTTTTTTGAAGAAATATTTTCAATATATTTAAGTTAAAAATAGTAAGATAAATAATTGTAGCACTTTTTTTGGAGAAATTTAAAATATTGAAAATAATATATAGTTAGTTGCTAGATAAAAGTTAGTCTTTGACCTTTTTACACACAAATGATGATAAGATAAATCAATCAAGTTTTTGGGAAAGTATTGATGTATAACACTTGACATTTAACATTTTAACTCTGTCTGCAGACAAAGTTGGTTCTTATTTTGTTTTATATATAAACATAAAACAATTTTATTTAACTATTATGCTATTACCTATTGTATATTATACAATACCTGGGTAGGATATTTTGATTTTCACATCAATAATATAAATACAAATAATTCATTGTTCTCATTATTATTCATTTTACTTATTTAGCTTGTTTAATTTACAGGGACAGTGTCAGCTGGTAAATTGCCTTGCCATAGGAAACGCTTGGCAGTCAGCATTAAACGTAGATCCTCCGTGGTTTTGCTGACATTATTTACGTAATCGACTGCTAAGCTGTTGCCTAAAATAACACTACTAAGCTGCCTCGTAAGTAGTTTTTGTCAATTCTTAATTTAATTTTATATAAAATCGTTTGAATAAATGGTATATTTATACTTTTTAATAATTTGTAGATTATGATGACATAAGCTAATTAGGTTATTTATGTATAATTTATTAAGAGGACGCTACCCACCTGTAATTTGTTGTGTAAAACAGGGTTCGCGCGAATCAATATAACGTAATTTATATGTGTGACGTTACTTCCTGCTTTATATTAAACACTCAAATATTATTATTACATTAAAAATATTTGTACTTTGTACTATAATTTAATCAGGGCGATTTATAACATTCTATATTTTTATATTTAATAAGTGTAATATCAAAACTGTTATATACTATACCATAAAATCAGTCATTATTAGCATTAAAGTCTGCTAATGCTCATGTATTAACAATATTTTGTAATAATTAAAATCAAGTTATTAAAACTTGAGTCATATTATGTTTTTTTTTTGACATACTCAATTATAATTAATTAACATAATTCATAATGTGGTATGGTAAACACCATGGAGAATGTTTTACGGACAGTTTAACCGTTTTCTTGTTTTACAGTTTACCTCTTTGATTTGCTGACTAACAATATTGTAATATATCAAGCATAAGTTGCATTGCGCTAGCAAAATAAGCATGAGAATTTGTGGACTTGAAGAACAAATCCATGTTGTTGATAACAATATTACTGTTGAAGAAATCATTAAAGATATAGTTAGAACAAAGGTTAGTGTTTTACAATATTTTTCCGAATGATTTTTATCTTTTGTTTGTTAACGTGTGTGGTTTATTCTTAGGAAATAGCTGATGCGTTTTTTATATTTGATATTGGTGATCTTGTAAACAAAGTTAAAATATGGAAGAAAAAAATGCCTCGTGTGAAACCTTTTTATGGTAAGGTTTTTTTCAATCAACACTATTAAATATAAGAAATATAATTAATAATTAATGTGAAGAAATCAATCGCTTATGCATTTATCGAATACAATAATAATAAAAAATAAATTATTGTAAAACCAAAAGTAAAGTATGTCATTTATGTGTAAATGAAAATAATAATATATTCAATGGAGTTATTATAGCTCTTATCTTAATTTGTATTTGTAGTATTAAATACTATAGTAAGGTCCACGAAACTAGAAGTGTGATCGTTGTCGCGCGCCTGGTAGCAGATTTTCGTCGGGGTTTCTACATCTAGTTTTCCGCGTAAATTAATTTAAAAAACGTACAAATAATTCTTATATATTATTGGTGTTTATAATTCATAATGATGTTATGTTAATATTTCATAGTTTACCATACACATAATTTAATTATACTACAAAAAATACATATTATCACAGGTATTTACATAATACATGGACAAAATGTATTTTAAACTATATCGACGGTTAGAAGGCTATTTGGCGTAAGCGACTAATTTCTCAAAATTCACTTTTTGTCATTTTGGCGTTAGGGACATTACGACGCATAGATAGCGCTGACTCTGGTGTCGATATATTGAATACAATTCATTTTATCGATGTTTATAAATGTTGAACAACGTAATCTCCCTTAAATGGCTTTTGGGCTCTCCTGAACAATTTGGTTTATGGCGCTTACGGCAAAAAGCCTGCAAACAGTCTATAATATTTAGGTATTAGGTAGTCGAAAACCATTAAATATCTACTTCCAATTAATGATACAAAAATGTGTATGGTAATAAGAAATCTAACCTACGGACTACGATGTACAAATAACAAAAAAAAAAAATTCCACCCGTACATTGATATTATATATATGTATTGTATATTTGTATTAAAAAAATGTTTTTTATAGTATAACATATTATACATTTTTTTTTTTTTTTATAGCCTTTATTGTATAACATACAATAAATATTGCTCATATTGATTATACATATTTATTATATAAAAAATGTGTGCTAACAGTACAAATAAACACTAGATTTTGAACCCCTAGCCCACCAAAATCCTGCCACCAGGCGCGCGACGATCACACTTCTAGTTTTGTGGACCGTACTATAACACATAATTACTTTTAAAGAACTTATACGAATATTGAAAAAATATATTTATAAATTACTTACAGGCTATATGTATTATTCTTGTTGTTTTTGGAATGATTGTTATAATATTGAAATTAATTAAAATCAAAGTTCACCCATAGTTCTAAAACTATTTAAATTTCAATTATTAAAAAGAAAAAAGCCAAACTAACTAAAATCTTTTCGGTTGGTTCATCATAGTTATAAACATTTTTCATATTGAATCCTGGACCACATTGATTTGTATTGAGTTTTTTAAAATTTTGGAATTAGGGATTAACTTTCATAGGAAAATCGGATAAGCAATTTCACCACCGATTGATTTATTATCAATCTTTCCTATTTTAACTTCTAGAATATATTGCCCATCATTAAAAAAGGCCAACAATAATCAATTACAACCTATATAAACATACTCGTACATATCAAAATATGTTATAAATATTTTTACTGCTTATAACTATTATACAGGGGTGTATTCATAAGGATACCTTACAACAATACCACTGATATATATATATATATATATATATATATATATATATAATTATTTATTATTACTAATAATAAACATTTGTACTTATTTAGAACTCAATTAGTGTACTCTAAGTAATAATAAATTAGATAGGTGGCTGTTGCTGCAATACCACTACAGAAAATATGTGCTTTCCTTTCTGTCAAAACTAATATCGTGAATACAAGTAAACAATTAACATGGCCAAAAATATTGAAACATATTAACAACTGTATTTTTTTGGATCTCTATAACACAGTAATGATTGTTAGTAAATAATACATATGAACTAGTAAAGAACTACTCAATAACTATGAATATACTCTTAAAAAAAATATTTATATTAATTTTTCGCAATGTGTATTTGTTATCATTACTTTGTCTTTTATACTTTTTACAGCTGTAAAATGCAACGACAACTCACTTTTATTGGAAACTCTAGCAGCGTTTGGTCTCGGTTTCGACTGTGCTTCAAAAGTAAATGTTTATCGCTTGTGAAATATTTTAAGTGCCTCGTATAAAAAATATAATAATTATTATCAGGTCGAAATAAAGAAAGTAATGGATTTGGGAGTTAATCCATCTAGAATCATATTTGCTAATCCGGCCAAAATGACTTCACATATTAAATACGCTATGAGTCAGTGTGTCAACTTAACAACATTTGACAATGAACTAGAACTCTACAAGATCAAGTCCATTCATCCATCTTGCAAGTATGTCATTTTTGTTATGGTCAAATGAAAAGAAACATTTATGATTATTACTTTTTTATATTCTAGATTAGTCATCCGAATTTGTTGCGATGTGTCTTCATCGCTATATCCACTTGGTGTGAAGTATGGTTGCGATCCTCATACAGAAGCACCAGCACTGTTATCATTGGCTCGAGATTTAGGTTTGTCCGTCGTGGGCGTTAGTTTTCACGTGGGATCTGGCTGCAACGAACCTATTACTTTCCGACGGGCTATTTCCACTTCGGCGTCCATTTTCCGTCTTGCTGAACAACTAGGGTTTTCAAATATGTACATGCTGAATATCGGCGGCGGATTTCCAGGAAACAAGAATACTTCATTAGAAAAAGTGAGTCCAGTTTGTTATTTATCATATGGCGCTTTTAAAATAAATAACTATATTTTATTATGTATAGAAAAAAATATATATATATAATAAATTAAAATAATAATAATGATAAATCATTTAAAGTTTGCCGATATAGTGAATGACGCTCTGAACGAATGGTTTCCGCCTTCAAGTGGTGTGATTATTATCGCAGAACCTGGTAGATATTTTGCGGCATCGGCTTTTACTCTAGCTACCAAAATCCATTCGATCAAGAACCGTCCAAACGAAGAACACATAATGTATTTTATTAACGAAGGGGTTTACGGGTCATTTAACTGTGTTCTTCTCGAGCAGTTAACTTTGGTGCCCAAGCCACTGTTTGTAAGTAAAACAAATTAGATATTAAAATTACATATACTGCACGTTCTCGTTGATATATTTTATGTACTGGAAATTATGTGTTTGATTAGGAAAATTCAGCGAGTCCAGTAATCAAGAGTTCTATATGGGGACCAACTTGCGATGCTTTGGATAAAATAGTCGATTCCGTTAATTTGCCACAGATGCGTATGGGCGATTGGATTACATTTGAGGATATGGGAGCATACACCATATCGCTCGCCTGTACATTTAATGGTTTCCCCATATCCAAAACCTTTGCCGTTGTCAACCGACGAATTTGGTTAGTGTAAATTTGTGTGTTTGGTACCAGACCAATAGTAACGCCCACCGTGTTAACTTTTATAGGCATAAATTAAAAAACCTGATGCCGATATCTGAAGATCACTTCACAACTGTGCCTATCGTTGCTACGATAAAAATGATACAAGCGGAATCAAGCGATGATGATTTATGGGACGACACTGATATCGAACATACCAGACAATATCCTTGTCTTCATTTGAAAAACGTGTTTACCTCTCCAGAAATATAATAATAATTTTGTAGGTTTTTATAAGAAAATTTTGTTAGTTCACTTTTATTGTTGTTTAAAATTAGACTTACATTTTGTTAGCATTAACTAAATTGAGTAAAGAGGCAGCTCCTGGAAATTTTACATTATTATTTTTAATCATTATATTTATGTATTCTCAATTTACTTATAGTATATACGTTTTGTTATTTTCTAAATATAACAATATTTATTGGATTTGCGTTTATTTTAACATAACATAATATAATATTTCGATAACTAATAATTCTTTTGTTCCTATCTTCATTAATTGATCGCAAACTGGTTGGAAAAACAAAACCCTATTATTGGTTTATATATTTTTATAAACAACTATTGTTCCTAAGCCTAGTTGTCTTGAAGTTCTATTTAATAAAAGCCAACAGATGATTTGACGTGAAATGAATTGACTAGTTTTTAATTTTACTATTTTTTATACAACAGCCAATTCTAATTTCTAATTTTTAAATTAAATAAAGAAATTAAAAATAATCGTTTGTATTTATAAAAATAAAATCATATTTTTTAAAATAAACAATATGGGTGATAAGTTAGTAGCTGATATCGTTTGTAAAGTATTTATGAGGTATATTTTTAATACTATTTATATTAAGTATATATTATCTAATACTGGAAAATATACTTTTTTAATAGGTACTAAATTTAAGTACAGGTTTTTTTTTTAATTGCTCATCCATTAAAAGGAAATAACTCAACAAGGCGTTTGCGAGAGGTATTTTTTTTTATAAAAATTAATAATATTGTATGTATAACATAGAACCATTTTATTATAGTAATTGCTGCACAATTACTTACAACTTTTTTTATAATAAAATGTATCTAAATTGTTTGTATTGTACTAATGTTTACAATCAATTAATGTGTGTTGTTTTAATGTTTAATGTCACGCCACTGAAACTTCTAATAATATTTTATTACACGTTAACTGTGTGGTTTAATATAATTTACATTAATTAATATAAATTATAATAGCGAAATTTACATCCTCCGTTCTCGTCGAAAATGTACAATTATTATTTATCATAATATTAGTTTTCATTTCTATGTTGCCACTTAGTACTTACTTATCACTTTGATTGCACAATCTTTAACGTTATCAATAACACGGTACAGGTTGTAGTTGTGGTCGAGTCCAACATAAGAACACGTTTGACATTTTTTTAACACCCTCAAACTTTTAAACCTGAAATCAGTATTCCCAAGACTGACTGTTCAAAGGTACCCAAATTGAAAAATTAAAATGAGATTTAACGGGAGTAAAAAAATGTCTAATCAGTTTCATGTTAAACTCCACCAGATCTACAACACTATAAGGGCTGGTTCACGCGAAGAGCGTTAAAGGCGCGTAGTCAGTACACTTAAAATCTTAAAAGCAATTGCATTGTAGTTGTAAAAGCGCGTTTAACGCTATTCACGTGAACCAGCCCTTATATTTATATAAATAATAATTTTGGTACCTAATAGGCTAATAATAATTATTCTTAACCTAGATGACTATTTAGTCTTTAAACTCTTTATATTTTTAATTATACAGGGTGTATCATAAAGAATGGTGGGGTTTCAAACAGCTGTAGGTTGTGAAGCATTGGACCTACAGCGCTCTGGTAGGACTTAAATGAAAGAAGGAGCTGTCTCGAATGTTTCGAATGACTGCCACTAGATATCTCTGGCACTAGATCTTTCATAGTCGTAACTGAATTACGTTTCGCGAATTCGATCACTTCTCTTGTGAGGACACTCTTGAGTGGCCGGCATGCGACTAAAACCAATACATGGCATGCGACACATAATTTAATATAAAATAATTCTAAGGACACCGCTGAATAGAGATTTAAATTCTAACCCAAAATGATGTGTCATATGTTGGTTTTGGTCACTCGGTGGCCACTCTGTGGACGTATGTGTGGCCAGATACCCAAAAAATCATGTTACGTATCAATTCAACAAGATTTTTTCTCCTGATTTCAAATCTGAAATAATTTTTTTCGCAAGTCAATCTTTTAATGAGAAACGAGTTTAATTTTAAATAGTTTTAAAATTAAAAAAAAAAATGAATACCATTTATTGTACCCATAGAGCATCCTGAATGTCTCATTTGAAACTCGGTAGAACTTTACATTACTACACCCTGTACATATTATTCTTAATTTCAAGTTACAAGAAAAATCTTATCGTAATTTATTTAAAAAGGCAACAACGTCAAATTTTTATACTTAAGCAACTTAGTTTTGGGTCAATTGTCTTGATTTGATGTTTTTTTTTACCAAAGCTAGACATTCTATTTCATTCAAGTAATTCGTTACTGCCCAGCTTTCATTTTTATATTATGATATTTAGAAAAAAATATTTGTATTAAACCTAAGCATAATTACTTGATTTTTTAAAAACCAAGAATATAATAAACAAATGAAAATCATATTTCGATAGATGGGTAATTTTTTTATTTTTACAGGAAGTGTTTTGGTCGCTAATATCAATGGTAAGCGGCAAGTCTGGAGGAAAAAAGGTCCGGATGACATTTTGAAAGTCGGACAAAAGGGTCGAGTATAATAAAATAAATTATACAAAATAATACAAATAGTCATAAATAAATAAATAATGTTAGTCCTAAATAGTATTATATAATATATTATACATAATACATATAGAAATAATTAAAAATAATACAAATATTTTTATAATAAATTATGCGTTCTCAAACGCTATATTAACCAACAATTCTTCTATAGTTACCTCATTATTACTTATTCTAGAACACAAATTTTGTAGCAGATTGTTTTTTTTAGAGCCATGTTTTGTTTTTTTTCTGGCCGGTTCACCTGTCTCCTGTTGTGCTATTTTTGTTTTGTCGACTCCTACTTCTTGTCGCATTTTAACAATGAGCTTCGAAATTGTTGGATGACTATGACCTATCAAATGTGAAAACCGGTTGTTCCAGTTTTTTTTGTGGTGAAAATACATTCGGACTTTTTGTCCGCCATTTAATATCAATATATATATGGTATATAAATTTATGAAATTTGGATAGAAATTTTGTAAAGTTGGTGTAGGTACTACATTAGGAAAATTTAGTTTGAATTGTTAGTAAAACTTTTTTTTAACTTTAGTTATGCATAAAAAAGTTTATTATACCTGTTAATGTAATTTTTTTATATTCTAAAAAAAAAAAATTGAAACGGGATCTCTAATTGCAGTTGTTGAAATGCAATGGCTAAGAGATCTAAGGCTAAGATCCCCGAGTCATCTAAGGCCCCTTCGAGATTTTTAAAATTAAAGTAGTTGGAAAAAAAAATGTTCCCTTATTATGCCAGAGACTTATTAAAACATATGTGTGGAGTGTTGCAACCCATGGATGTGAAACATGGGTAATAAATGATACAGAAAGGAAAAAACTAGAAGCCAGGATAAGTTGGATAGAGCGAAAAACAAACGAAGAAGTACTCAGAACTGTGGCAAAAAACCTACACTCATAGATGCGATTAGAGCAAAGCGTTGGACAATGGTTAGACATGTCCTGAGACACCCAGAAGAGTTGCATAATATAATATTAGAGGATATGATAGAAGGAAAGAAAACTGCAGGACGTCCTCGAAACTCTTATGTAGGCCAAATTAAATGTGACGCAAGAGTCAAAACTTTTAAGGAACATAAAGAAAAGGCGAGCAATCGGTCAGAATGGAAAATTGGAGTTGTAAACCAACCTTCGGTTTGAATAATAAAAAAAATAAAAATTAGGACATTGAGTTAAATTGTTGTATAGGCCAAATCTGCTCAAATAATAATATGTTAAAAAAACAATAAAAATGCAATAGACGTATAAGAAATAAATATAGGTATATAAATATAGTTTTATTATTAATACTTATAAATTTCCTTTGCGTTTAAGGTAGGTATGCCGTATGTATATATGTTTGCTTTTGTACAAAACGAATAAAAATCGTGTCTTTAAAACAATTTTTTCCCTTATCATTTTTAAGTAAGACTGATTTCTTTTTGTATATCTACAAACTATATAGCAGTTACACATATAAAAATTCGCGAATAATCTGTATAGTATATAATAATTATTGTAGCTTGTATATTTTGACGTCGTTGTTTAATATAATTATTAAATATTGCAAATATTTAGAAAATTGCGTTCAGCACAATTAATTATTGTTGTCAAAATCAGTTATCATCAGGTACATAGTTTTCCTCGTCGCGTTTCTGTAACACAAGAACAACAAAATGTAATTAATATTTAGTGTCTTACAACATGATAAAAATTGAACATATACACCACACTTTAATATGTAACAAAAATATTTTATGGCAAACACTTAACGTTAATAAAATCCAGTTGTGTGTAACAATACATCTATTACCAACATCAAAGTCTTTATAAAATAGGTAAACTAAATAAATATGTCTGTACTAACAGGATTTAACCGATTAAAAAAGTTAATAAATAAAGCGCCATCATTATCGCTTTAATACAATGATCGGACCGATTGAAGTTAAATGGGTAGTTTTTTATGGAAAAATTAGCCGGTACCCAATAGCCTTATGGGAATTACATTTATTATTTTGAAAAGTTCGATTATTGAAAATGGGCTTTGGTTTTTAAATTTATTCGAACGTTATTACTGAACTCGATTAGTCAGGGGGTTAAAAATGTTAGTAAGGCTTACTGTTTGAGTGTAAAAGATAGAATAAAAAAAAATATTTAAAGTTTCCATTAATATAAAACAAACGTCAATATCCTAAGACATATTTTTATTTAATCGGTATTATCAAATGGGATACAAAATAGTATGTATGTAATCGAGATCTAGAATAACCGGTTCAAACAAATTCGCATTATATTGGCGACAAATATAGAGTTTCGCTAATAAAATCGATCATTTAAAAACTAGAAAAATTACGAGATGGAGTTAAAAACTATTTAAAGTGAAATTCGCTAACCGATTTAAGACGCAAAAAAATTATCTTACGGAAGTAATATAAAAAACCAAACCGTACTGTACTGTATTAGTAGTGCACTATACACAGTTACTTAATCGAGTTATTTTAAAATAAAAAATCACCATAGCAATTGTTCCAATGGTATTTTAACAAAGGGGAGTAAGACTAAACTATGATTTTGAGATTAAATGTTAAGGGGATAGCATGCTGTCTGTTTTTTTGCAATTTTAGACCAAAAAGCCAGACAAAATTTCGACTACTCGATCTTTGGCAACTTTACTAAGTTACGTAGAAAAAATATTTTTGATTTTTTATGTAAAAAAAAATTAGGTTTTAATTTTCAAAAAATTGCATATTTAGTTTATTTGATTGCATTCGATGAAAATCAGCTTCCTACCTAACATAGTAAAGTAGCCAAAACACCTGAATCTCTTTACAGAATTTAAATTAAACAATTATATTTAGTCGAAAATTTGTCTGGCATTTTGGTCTAAATTTAACCAAAATGGCCTTTACTCGTAGAAAAAAATATTTAAACTAAAAATAATACCTTGAAGCTTATACAAATTAATTGGCATGGTCGAAGTTTATAAAAACTTCATTTCTTCTTAAATATTGCCTACACAAAACTCCTTAAAAACAGACCGCATGCATTCCCCTTAAATAAAAAGAATCTAAATTTTTAGCAAACTCAATTAGTTGTACTAACACATTTTTCATCAAATTATAAGCCAATTGAAAAAAGTACAAACCATATTTTCAAAAGTTTATATCTCATGGACGGCTTAACATGTAGGTATTATGTTTGGAAATCCATATCATTTTTGTTCACGCTTATCGATAAAAAATATAAAAATATAATCTCTTGTCGAGTACCTTGGTAACCTTCTTCCCGTATATCGACCAAAACGTTGCCTTGGCGATTATCCTGTGTCCCGTGTGCTGGTTGAACGTAGAGCACTCTTCGAATGGCGGACAATACAAGTGTAAGCTCACGGCCTTGTCAGTGTGACTCGAATTTTCTACTCGGTGTAAGCCCATCGAATCTATAGATTTAAGGATTTAAAATTTGGGTTTATAATTACAGGTTATCTGTAAACAATCAGAGCTTTAGAGAACAATTAAATACAATTATGTCGTCAGGGGTCATTATCAGTATTAATAGTATAAATATTATAAGGTAAAGCAGCATGGGACAGTTTTATCTCACTTATATTGTCCTTCGGTGAAAATATCCATACAAAATAAAAAGCAATTTTTAACTAATCACTACAATGGGTTTTTATGGGATACATTTATCGGAAGTTGTAGGGATAAAATTAGTATTTGTATAGGTAATATTAATTTTATTTAAAATATGTGTTAATGAAATAAAGTTTGAAAATCAGTTAAAGTTACTTTTAACTTTTATTTTGCAAAGTAGAAATCGGAATAGAATTATTAAAATGTTTAACAGAAAAAAAATCCATAAAAAACAACATTCAACAATAAAAAGAAGCTGATGTATGACCTTTTCGTTAAGTTCAATTTTATAAGTTAGAATTTAGCTTAAGGTTCGGACATTAAAGTCAAATCTTTAATATTTTTTAAAGCTTTTGTTTTTAATTACTGAATTTCTTCCAACTCTTGTACAGACGAGAAAAAAAACCAGGTTTCCATATTGAAGTTAGTCCTTCATAAAACATTTGTATCCTTAAGAAAGTACATCACAAATAAGTATTAATATTATATGTATAAATTAATTTATAATATTCATCATATGTTAGCTGTGTTTTGCGACGCGATTTGTGATAACCAAATTAATAATATTAGTTGTTGTTTGTGTTTAACATTTACAAATGCGTTTTGTATTAGGGATTTTATTATTATTATGACGTAGGTAGGTCATAGGTATTGACGGAGATTAAATATTGCTTTAGCGTACTTCATGACAAATCAAAACAAGTTAACTAAGTGTAAAAATTGAACTATAGGTATTATTATAGACTTAACTCAACATTAGCGTGTATGTTAGATACATATATTTTATAGAATCAAACGTGTGAAAGTACTCCTTGAGAACAAATTTTGCAATTTCGAAAATAATATAATTATTGTTATGAAAACAATTAATTATGTTTTGGAAAGGCGCCAATATTGTTTTTCTAAATTAGAATTATTTTTCAATTGGGTTTAACTAGACATGGACAAAACTTTGCCGTATAAAAAAAAAGTACCAAAATCCCAGAGGTTAATCACTTAAATTTTCTTTAAAATGAAGTTTCTCTAAAGATAATTTTAGCATGTTTGTCTTAGTTTTGTTAAGAAATACATACAAGAATACACTTTGGCATGCGCAGGTTAGATTGTTCTATTAAAAAGTGTTATTTTCTTAGTGATCTATAGACTATATAGTTTTGATATCTTATAGTTTATAAATTGGATAATAAAAAAAAAAATCGTACATAATTGAACAAGTTTTTAGTTCGTTTGCAATACGTGATTAACTGAAGAGCTTTATTTATCTAAATAATGCATTTTGCGACGTTCAAGTCCTAGATAAATATATTTTTTTAAGTTCATCGTTTACGATTGTAGTGCATCTGTGGCAGCTGAACTTTTTATTTTCATTTTAACGACTAATAATTAAAATTGTACTTGACATGTGTGTAGTGTTTATGGTCACAGTATAGGATTAAAACAAATACAGGTCTATAAAGAGTAGATATTAATTAATTATTAACATTCTCATAACAGAGTACCAGTCGTGGGACTACAAAAATTAGAATTTTCACAAAAACGTTTATTCTAACCATATAAAGGTATTTTTAATAGGAATTTTAGATACAATTTGTAGACAGGTACCTATCAAAAATAAAAATATTTACTAAAAGAATTATAAAAAAGCCAAAACTTAAATAAGAAAATTGAAAAAATTAAAAAACTTAAAATAACTTGAATTTTATCGATTTCTCGCTCAGTATTGTCTTCAAAATTGTTTTTGTAATATATTTCTTTAGTTAGTTTATTAGTATTTAATTTTTCAAGATCAAAAAAACAGCAGCAACTATGAGTTTTTTCTAAATATATATTTTAAAAGTCCCACACCCACCCCTTTCCACCATAATATAATGTATCCTACATCCACACTTAGCCCCACTTGACCTAACAAAAATAATCATACTCACCATTTATGTGACACACGCTGTTGGTCTCCAAACATGTCCGGCTGAACTCCATCAACGGCTTTAGGTCGTCGCACGCGGACACATACTGGTCGTCGGCGTCTGCGCCGGTGTCTTTTGGCCACGCGAACCGTACCTCGGACAGCTGGCCGGCCAGGATCTTCATGAAGCAATCCGAATTGGGGTGGTCGTGTATGGACGACCCGTTGCCCTCGCCCCAGCATAACACCATCAGGTTGAACTTGCCATTGCCCGCGTCCACTAGGTTGCGGGTGTACCGGAATTTGTTGAACTTGGCGTACTTGAGCCACTCGCCCGGGTCGCTCTGGTACGACTCCATCAGGTACCGCACGTACTCCACGTTGACGCGGTCCTCGTCAAACACCCGGTACAGCTCGGCGATCAGATCGGCCAGCCGGAACTTGCGGGTGCCCGCCACCGGCCTGTAAACGTCGGACGGCATGTTCCACTGACGGCAGTACCCGCGGATGTCTTCCACGGTTCTGTCGGCGGCGACGGCCAATCGGCCGCATGACGACGATTTCTTCAGCGAACACCGCTCGTCGTCCATCGCCGCTACTTTCGGCTGCCCGCGATCGTCGTTCATCTCGGCACACCGGTCCATGGCGGTCGACTATACCTATACGCGCCATTGGACAGTTACTGTTATTGTTGTGCTAAATGATTATTACATTACATTTTAATACAATGGTCACTGTAACTGGGCGTTTTTGGGATCACTATTTCGTTATTCGTTCAATCAATGATTTTATGGCGTTTTAATTTTTTTTTTTTTTAAAGCCAGCCTTGTTTTTAATTATTACCCATCGAATTATTTTATTTTATTCGCATTTACCTCACTTGACTGTAGTAGCCTTGTTTACATTTTTACTCAAATTAACTTTAATCACAAGTTATTTATTAATATACATGTATTTTTATGCACATTCACGCATACATGAAATGTGTAAGTAGCGTTGAAAATGCTTCTATATTTTAAAAATATTTTACTTTATAGACATTTTTCTTTAAAACAATTATTTCAACTAAATTTTTCAAGTTTCAAACTTCACGTCTAAATATTAATAGTAAACAAATACAAGTTTAAAAACAAATACTTCGTTAATAAAAATTGTATTTCTGAATAATTGAAAACGTTAAATTTTTAATCACGAGAAATTGTATTTGTGATTGACGAATTAAATTGTTTATAATTAATAAATTATTAAAATGAGCTGAAAAAGTAAAACTTTAAGAGTTCAAACATATTTTCATACTCTTTATTAATAATAATTACCAATAACCATACGGAAAAAGTTATTTTTTTTCATACGGTCGTGATATCAGAAATTGTATCAATTCTTTTTTTACTTATTCATTAATCATTTTAAGTACATTCGAGATAGGGACATTTTTCAAATCAAAATTTAGTTTTCCAACCGTATTCGAACGAGATAAAAGTAGGAATATTCCTATTGTTATGCATATAAAAATTGTTTTGGAAAGTGATAAATTTGTGAACTTTACTACTGTTTATGTTTTTGTTTACGGTTATTTGTACTTGAATTTTTGTTTTTTGTTGGGGGACAAGATTATTTGACCGGTAGATCAAGATATTTTGTTGTTGTTATAACGTAGGCCATGGCCGACAACCAATAGTAGGTTCACATAGTTGTGGTAGGACAAAATAATACGATCGCAAGGTAATGATAATAATAATATTGATTTCTCCATCCGTTCTTCAGCAGCACAAACCCAATCAACCACATAATTATTAACATAATATTATGTATGGCTACTATCCGCATCGGACGAGTTTTGCTTTCTCTAGGATGCCATTATAACTTTATCATGTATAATTTAGGTACCTAGTTAATATGTTATTTACTTTCAAAACATCGGTTAACAGTATTTCTTTTTATCAATGCAAAATGTTATCAAGCAAAATCCGTAAACCGTCGAGGGTTCGGAAAAAATTCCGGCGAAAATTTACATTATTTGCTTTAAAAAAAAAACAACTAATATTTAAATGATTTAGAATTTTTTTTTTTCTATCGCTATTTTTCAATCTAGTCTTTAGTTTTAAGTGTATACAGAAATAGTCGTGACATTATAACATTTGCTCTTATAAAATGTAACTAAAACCCAGTGAAGCACGTGAAAGCAAACCCAGTTGGATAATTATGAGTCATAATATGAATTCCAGCAATACTTATTACCTATGTCCTATACCATTTAACAACACATAATAATAATATATATTATTGGAGCTTAGGTGATTATATTATAAAATGCGTAACTCAAATTATGATAAATCTTATGCTGAATAAAAATTAGACCTAAAGTTTTAAATTTGTTGCTAAATTTGTTGCCCGCCATCCTCTACTCGTAAACATCTACTCATCGTTCATCCAAATGCATTTCGTATTATTATAATACGACGATAGATTTGTTTATCTATTTTTCATCTAAATCCTCTATGCCAATTAAACGAGGATCGTATCTTTTCAATGGGTGTAAACAACCGATAACGATTGGCGTCGCTGAGTAGTTCTGAATTTAATCAGGTAACTCAATGAATATAAGAGCTCAACTCTAGACTATTAAAAAAAAAAAATTTAAATATGCATTTACAAATAGTGTTAGCTGATGAGCTAAAATAAGAAAAAAAAAACATTTAATGAGCGGTTTTTTTTAAATATTAAATAAATTAGCTACTTCCTATTATACTTTTGTCTTGCACAGAGCTATAATACAAGAAACCATCTTGAACCTAAGATCAGAGTTGCTGAATGTGCAGTGCACGCACCGATCATGTACCCGATCGTAATGAATGTTTTGTTACAACGTTGTAGATAAGTGATGAAAAAAGTTTTATTTATTACTAGCTACCATTTTTAAGCAATATATTATCTTATTTTTGGCGCCCTTTGACTCTGACAGCGATATATACAAACGGCCGTTGTAATTATTAAATATTGTGCGTTTTTTTTTTACTTAAACAGGTACTAATTAATACCGATGTAATATTGTTTAATAACTAATAATTAACTGACCGCAAAGCTATCCGTGGTGTATTAAAAAAAACAACAGTGAACGCGTTCAAGCATTAATTAGGTATTTAATATTGGATGTGATGCTGCGTTGAGATCATAGGCTGCGCTATGACGTTCAAAATTACTAGCATTACATAAATAATAAATATCTGTTTGGGATAAATTTGATGCTTTACAAAAAAGTTATTAAAAAAAAATATTTTACTACTGAAAGTTCTTACAATTAATATGGCATATCGCCACCCCGGTAGAACTAACTGCAAAATTTGGTAAAATTGGCTAAATGCTTCAATGTGTTTAAATACAACGAACGCATATGGTAGAAAAACGACGTAACTGTAGTTGTAATAATTTTCCAATCATTCCCATTCCATTAAAATTACATCCCATAACACTTTAGTGAAAATAAACTGTTAAAGTTTTTTCGATGTCCTGTAAAATTTCAATTTTTGCAGTTAAGTCATTGTTCTGCCCGGGCGGCAATATTACCTTAAAGCTTATTTTGAATAATTTACTAATATTTGTATCATAAATTAAAAATTCACCATGATATTAATTATTATGTTGATTGGGTGTTTATTTGATAAATGTAAAAATGTGGGATGGTTGATGTTTTTGAACCCAATTTTTATTCCGTGTTATGTTATATTAAAATTGGAATCGTCTTTTGTATGATAAAAATATGTTGTGGTAGATATTTTAATAAGTGATAAAAAACAAAACTAAACGCATCGAAGCTAAAATGTAACAATATTAAAGTTTATTTTAGTATTACAAAAATAATATATATGAACCTCCTTAAAATAACTTAAAACGAGAATGCTTAAAATTTGTAGGATTAATTTAAGAGTTAATGATCATCATAGTCATTTCCGAGTCAAATCTTAAACGTGCCCCTCCTAAAATATACCTACCTCTAGTAGACAAGCAAATGTCAACTGACAACTTAAGACACTTTTGTGCGCTTAATTATCTGGATTGAAGTTAGTGCATTGTCGCAATTTCAGGGATTCTAGAATTATTCATACAGCTTAAACTTAATTAAGTTAAAATAGTCTTAAAAGTCTACATTTTTTAGTGGAAGACTTATTATTACGAACAATTTAATATTACTAATTTAAATTTACAGTTTTGAGTATAGTTAGCACCCCACAAAATTGCGCCAATGGTATTCCATTGCAATTTCTTTTTTAATGGGTTCGCATTAAGTCACCATTTAGGTCCGAGATTCAGTGGCCAATAAAATTACAAGCTACTTGAATTTGTTACCTTACAGAAAAATGGCTCTCCAGAGCCATTATGGTTGGATGAAATTTTGTTTAAGTTCAACGTTACCACCATTATAATCATTTATTGCAATATTTAATATAATATAATATGATATGCAATACACATCACACGTCGCCATTGCTTAATTCACAACTTCGAAAATGAGTTGTGGCTGTTCTAGGCAGATTGCCTTAATATTTAAATATAGAATGTCATTGATAATTTCTACGCTTAAACTATACTTATTTTTTAAGCTAAACCGATCAATAATTCAAAAAAATATTTAATTATAATTTAACATTTTAATTTTTTTTAAATTTACCTTTTCTTCTGATAAATATATATATTATATGTGTATCGTGTGTAGCGTCGCTATTCTCGATCAAACAACAGGTAGGGTTGAATTGTCTCCAAAAGGATAAACGAGTGCACAGCCGTTGAATTTAGTTTCGATTAATTAACTATGTGAGTGGTTTGCGTGCTACTCTTACTACACCTCTACTCATGTGCATACCATGTATCAATCACCCGGCGCAATCATGTTATTATCAAAATCAGTGTACAAACTCGAAATAAATCGTTTTAACTATAAGTACCTTTTGTGCGATTGTGGCCTTTATTATAACAGGTAAGTGGGGTATAGTGGAATTTGATCTTTAGTTGAAATTAAATAATTAAAAAAAAACAGAAGATAAGTTCATACACAATTGTTTAGTATGCGATTTCCATAATAATACATTTACAATCAGATTAAAACGGAATAAGAAAAAAACACAATTTACATAAATTACCGATTACTAAATTTGTATTATTATTTATACAAACCATCGACAATTCATTGTAAGTATATATAGGTCACGGTTTTTACAGCTTATTTTACATTAAGTTTAATTTTAAAAATCATCACTAATAACGTCAAAAGTACCTTCGCCGTTTGGTCGGACTTGCATGACTTTTCCTTTAGTCACTTTTGCCCAGTGTTTGACCTCTTCTCGGTTCAATACTTGCTCAGTCGAAACGGCCACTTCGGATGCGCGTTCAAGTATAAGTCTTTCATCATCTCTGTGTTGTTGTGCTTTTTTTCTATGTGTTCTCAACGTTGGTTGAAAAGTCACATTGTCGATCAACGTTGCCGAACCTTTGAATAAGTGTATTCCTTTTTGTATGTTTTCCGCCGAGCAAGTTTTTTTTTTTTTATGTTTTTTCTCTACAATTTCGCTAAAACATAAAATTACGAGAAAGAAAAACGTAAAACGATTCTTTTAAAAAAAAGACAAATAAAGCAAATACAGTACAGGCAAATTTTTTTTTAAGAAAAAACACACCTTTTTTGTATAAAAAACACACCTTGTAGCGGAAATGGGAATAAATCGAATTCGGGTAATGCAGCCGGTAATGTCTGATATAGGGATGACCAATGATCGAATTGTATAATTTAATTACTTTAGTAGTTTGAATATTTAATATTCGCATATTAAATATTACTGACATACAAATTACTATATCTATACTATATAGAATACAATATAAAATAATGAGTTTTACGGGGAAAGGTAATCGGTTACTCGTTTAAATATAAAGACTGAAAAACTATAAACTATTAAGAAAAATTTTATAACATTTAAAATATTTAATATCGATGACATTTGTGATATTACAGGTGGGGAAGCTAATATTATATAATTACACAGTTTTATTTTAAAATAACAAAATTAAAAAAAAAAACAACCTATGCAGTTCTTGTGGATTTTTTTCCCGATTTTGAATCTGGCTACAGATATTTTTTGGCGCTTAAGTTCACTTTAAAATCGTCTTTAACGCTGTAAAAAAAACCTTGTTTTGTGCCATTTCTTCAGCGTGATCTATACATTTCATTAAATTTTTAGTTTTCAATCAATTTTTTTTTTTTGCTGAACTAGTTTTAATCTTTACATTTATTTACTAGTTTTAAGTTTACATCTTTTGAAGCAAATAGAAATTATTTATATTTTTTTAAGTTTTTTTACATTTTAAAAAATAATCAAAAATTAATAATGGTTTATGTTTGGAACGTAACCCAAATAAATTAAATTTATGGACTTTTTTGTCGCCCAATTCGAATCTAGTCTCCTAGATTATTTTAAACAGACCTGTTTTTGAAATCGCATTCAAACTTTTAAAAAACTTACAAAAAAAATATCAAACCTTTTTTTAATTTTTAATTATAGTAGTATGGAAAAAAATCATAAATAATACTAAAACCAGTCATGCATTCAGCAATGAAAAAACAACTATTTATAATCAAATTGATAATATTATTCATAGGTACAAAATACGCTAAACATACAGTGTTTTTTTAGAGCTTTGGATAGATTTAAACAAATTGACATGCTAGAAAAATGATGTGGCTAAACTCGGATTCAGTAAAAAATTAAAACAAAAACCGTACTGTATTTTTAATTAATATTATTTGTTTCTTGTTCCGAAATTGTGTTATAGGTACAGAGTAATCATTTATGTTTTAGTTTTTTTGCCTACCATTAAAGTTGCATTGGGGGAAATACGAAAGTTGTAATTTATTTTGCAACCTCACAATTAATAATTTATTAAAAAAATGTTGACCTAGTCCGACTAATATTTGCAAAGTTGCGCCAAATCTAAAATTAAATACATTTTTTTTTAATTTTTCAGTTTTTTGTTTATGGGTAGAAAGAGAATGTGATTTAACTTTTTTTAAATTAAAATTTAGAGAATAGATACATTTACGTGGATAAAAAAATTATCAATTAACTGTAATTTAAATGTTATGAAAATTGCATGTGAAAAAATTAGTTTTTCCTAATTTTATTATTCGTTGTTTGTAAAGGCTGTAGACGTTTCTTTTATCACCGATAGATAGAACCGTCTATGCTTAATTTAAATCACGATAAATACAAATAGAAAACTTATTGGATATTAGATAAGTTAAAAAATCATCATTGTTTTGTAATTTTATAAAAAATAGATTGTTGCTTACCTTTCTAAATGTTTGAAGAGATGTTTGGCAACAAAGTTTTGAAATTCAGGTGTCACTTTAATGAAATTATAGTCATGTCCTTCGTCCTCAATAATGTGCCTTAGGGATGGTTTGAATTGTACGGCAGAAACAGTTTTGTCCGCTAAAAGTTAATAATAAAAAACCAATATTAAGGAAATGACACTTGAGACAAAGTCCAGGTGAAGTGGAGGGTCACCGTTCGTATGATGACTGGAATACTTAGATAATAATAAAATCACTTCCATGAAAACGTACTTGTAAACCGTAGAACCCTCAAAGTCAACGCATTTATATAAAAACTTCCAATTATTAAAATAAATACCGATTATGGAGCTTTACTATGATTTGAGTTGGAAATTTGTTCACAAAACAGGTTATACCTATTATTGAAAGTGGACAAATGAAATTTTCTAACAAGTGAATCACTTGTAGCGATTCAAATCTCACCAAAGTAAAGCAAGATTGTCAATAAAAATAAAGCATTTTTGATCATCTATAATATTTCCTCATTAAATATAAATAGTAAAAACCAATTGTCGATTTTTTTTTTAAACACATTTTTCTATTGATCAGAAGTTGTTTTAATTTATTAGTTGGATCTTTAATTGCGAGATAACATTTTTTTTTTATAAATGGCCATTTTTAACCCTTTAATATAGAAAACGATTTAAAAATAACTTTTTTAAATTGTGTACTTCGAGAAAAACAAGATAATATACCAAATTACCGACTTTTATATAAGTTTAACTCATATTATTTTATGTCACACTTTTTCATATGAAAACTAACATAAGGATATATAAATACATACATTTAAGGATGGAAAAAAAAAACATTTAAAAAAATATATTTGTCTGTACGTAAAATTTGTTTTAATCTCAAATTGCCTCCAAAAGATTAATTATTTGTTTTTTATACTTAGATGCGCAACTGAGACTTTATAATCAATTATTATAAATTAAGTTCACTGAATACAATGTGTTATTATTTTTGCAATTAAAATAGTCATAAAAGTGTTATGGTGATCAGCTAATTATTTTGATTACAAATATTTGACGAAACCCTTACGAGCAAATTTACTATACTGAAATAGTTAGTTTTATAAACAAAAATATAATCGTGTATTAACATCTAATACAAAAGGATTGTACAATATCTGTAGAAAAAAACTTGTAAATGCTACAAAATTATAATATTATATGCTGAAATTTACAAAAAAATTATTAAATAATATGTTATTGATACTAACAAAAATAATACTATTCTATATTAGTTGTGTAACATTAAGAAAGCTGCTATTTTACATACCTACAGCTTATTTGGTTTTACTATTTTAATATAATATAATTAATTATTGCACTTAAATTATAATTTAGAAATAATTCTGCGAGATAAAATTCTAATGTTATATTTAATTAAACAAACAAACGTAAGGGTAGGTTGAACAAACACTAACTTGTGTTTTTGATTTTCTGTTTTTTTGAGTTGCTGGTATACATATCATTTGTTAACAAATCATTGTCAATCGAATCTTGAAGTATTCGTTTTGTAATTTCATCTTCAGAAGATGAATCATCTGACATGGTATATTTGTTGTCTAAAAAATGTTTTTAATTTTTAATTTTTTAAATAATAGATAACTACACAGTTGTTTAATTTGAAACACATCTAAGTATCAAAGCTTATAATCTATTAAATTATGTAATTAGTAAAAATGTATAAGTGCAGCACATTCATGAATTTGTAGCTGTTTTAAAAATGTATGAATAAAATGTGTACATACTTGTTAAAATATCTTTTGAATAGAACTAGGCAATTTATATAATTATACTAATTTACTTTTTTGCGCATATTTTTTTTATAAGTATTGGTGAAATTTTAAATTGGACTAAAAAAATGTAGAATACAATATTGATATTTTATGAGCTATATTCGGGTAAGGCACTTACCGTTTTTCACATAAAATATAAATTTGAAAATGTCACTAAAAATGTGTAAAAAACTTAGAACTTCGAAAATGAGATTAACTTTTGAATTTCTATTATTGGCTCGTTGATAAGGGTTATCAAACATGCTGTGGTGATAGTTTTTGCTTCATAATATTTTTAATTATTATCACATCGGCAGCGCACGTGCCGAATGTACACCATAACCATGGTTGAAATTTATAGGTTATTGCACATCTTCTCGAATTGTTATCTTCTTCAGAAATAAAATGACAGCGTAACGGGATAAAATTGTATTATATACCTTACTATAAAAACAAATTGTATATACATCTTTATATACATTATATTACTATATATTTTATTGTGTACTTGAATATTATGTACAATAACCATGTATATTACAATTTTGACCATAACCATGGTTAGCATGTCATTAACAGTGATAATATCAATAAAAATAATAATATCAATATATTATCATTGATTAAAATATACAAATTGTATTTAATCAATGGTAAATCGTAATTCGTAATTAGTAATTACTAATTTGTATTGGAGAAATTAAACTCAAATTTCAAAAGCTAACTATTAGTTTGCCTAACAAATATAACGAGCTTTTTAATATCTCGAACCAACTGTACTAGCTTACATTTAATGAGTATGAACTTACACTGGAGTATTGGTTTTACCGTGACACTGCTATGTGGGTGCGTTGCTGGCGACACAAAAGGCATAGTGTCTTTAGATTCGTTTACATTTGACAAGGTAAATTATTGTTTTGATTTGTTTTATTCCCGTTTTTATTAAAATTAAAACAATGACTAGAACAGTAGTTGGTTTGTTAATTAAAAGGTGTACAACTATTGTATAGTTAAATTAATGTCAAATTTAAAATTGTACAGCAGGCATAAGTATTGGTCTGGTTACCATTTCATAGTATATTGACTATTATTAAATTATAAATATACTAAGAAACTGTATACAATAACCTATAAATTCAATATGTCTATCAATTTGAGTTTTTGGTAAAATTTCAAGTTCATAGATAAGCTATAAAATATAACAAACTTTATAAGTTTGTTATATTTTACAATTAAATTTGATTTAAGAAAAAAATAAGATAACACCCTATGGATTAGAGTATTATGTGTTGAAGTTGAATTTCAAAACAAAAGTAAATTTGATGTGGATATTACCAAATACTTTTTGTAGAAAAAACGGGACCTAATTAGTTCTGACTATCAAATAAACCATCTACTATACTTGATAAATCTCTAATTTACTATTTTTAATGTTATTGGTTAAAACTAAGTCAAAATTGTCATTTTGCAGATTCTATCAAAATTTAAAGTTTCATTAATAAAGTTTGACGTGGCTTATCCATATGGGGAAAAACATGAAGAATTTGCTAAACTTGGATCTGCTTATCATTCTGTTGAAGATTTACTTATCGCCGAAGTACCTGTCAAGGATTATGGTGAAAAAGAAAATGAAGATTTAGCAACTAGGTATGACCATGAAAATAATATTTTCATATCAAATTATTTTTAAACTTTTTTTTTTATATAAAGGTTTGGTGTATCTAAAAAAGATTTTCCAAATGTCAAACTCTTCGTAACTGGCCAGCCGCAACCCTATACTTTTGCTGATGATGAATTTAACATGGACAACTTACAAAAATTCATTGTGAAGCATAGCAAATCGGTTGTGTACATAGGACTTCCTGGAACGTTGGAAAAGTTTGATCAGTTGGCATCAGAATTTTCTTTAGAGAAGTCTGTAGATAAGCGCAAGGATGTCTTATTACGAGCAGAGCGATTATGGGATGAAACTCAGGGTAAACAGAAGCAAAAGTCAGCAGAAGTATATGTAAAAACTATGAGAAAAGCGCTTGAAAAAGGCAATAATTTTTTCAACTCTGAAGCGACTCGTGTGAAAAATTTACTTAAAGGATCATTGACCGATGAAAAGAAAGCGGATATGACTGTTCGTCTGAACATACTGGAGTCATTCAGTGCATGGCACGACGAGTTGTGATTTTGGCTCCTATGATTTTTGTATACTATTTTTATTGATTCCAATACGGTATAACAGGGTTGTGCAATTTTTTAAGGGTCTTTCCTAACACTTATCCAGAGTGAAAAGCAAAATATTTGATTTTTACATATCACCATGTTAAGTCTGGTCGTTAAATGTGAAGTATGTTAATTTATTGTTAATAGGTATATACTATTTTTTATTCATGTATTTACCTATGCATTAGTTTTTCACTATGCACAGTAACACAATTATTACTTAAATATATTGTTGATACAGAAAACTTCTTTTTTTATTTTGAATAAGTATACTTGTCCTTGTAAATGCTATGAACAATTGGTAACAAAATGTCATAGATAATAAAGAAGTATCCTAAATTATTATCTTCAATAGTTACGCAAAATATAGTCTCGGCGGTTTATAATAATGTTAAAATTATCCAATTTTATGACAATATTAATTATAAAACATTAAATATATTTTGTTATTTTAATGTTTTTCTTTATGAGATGAATGAATTAAAAAAAAAAAACTGTTTAACAATAAACTGGTTGTGTTCAAGAGCTTGTTTAGTGAAAAAGAATGTTTTCCTTCCAAACACCAAATATTAATTAATCTATTAGAAAGTTTAGTTAAAAAAAAATACTGTTTAGGCATGGGATTGTTCATCTAAATTACTATAATCAACTTTAAAAACATCACATTACATATTTAATTTAACATAAATTTAATAATCCAACATATTTATATAATAAAATAATAATTACAATAGTAGACACGATCAGGAATATAAAACAAATGTTTTTCTTTTACTATTTGCTTATTTTTTACTCATGAACAAAATGTGGAGTTTTCCTGACAAGGTTTTTTTTTATTGGTTTACTCATATCATGCCAAAACCTTCAGCGTAATTAATAGCTTTCGACAGTCTCTCGTCTAGTTTTTCTTGACTGCTATACTCTGGTAACAAAAGTACGTTGAAACACGTATGAGCAGTAGGAAGTCTGTAAAGATACAACATTATTTATTTGTAGTCGAATAATTACTTAATACCTATAACCAACAAATTACGTAAAACGATTTATATTTTTACTTACCTGTCAGAGTCTGAACCGTTTCTGGTGATAGTTAATTTAAGTTTACCGAGCCCACCAACCGGAACTCTATCGCTGCCAGTGGTAAACTGCAATAATTTTTGTTGTGAGGTACGAGGCAACGCGTGTGCAAAATTCCAAAACCATCTGATTACCGGTGTATTCTTACGATACCCTCCTTCGTACAGCGTGGTTTCTTCCAAGTCGGACATGTCAAAGATCTGTGAACAGTAAAAATAATTTTTGGGTACAATCATAAAGCGCAAGCGTGTGTAAAAATAAATTATCACTCACCTTACTGCCGCAAACAATTTGTTCAAGTTCTTCAGGCCAGAATAAATGTTGTAACGGAGATTCTTCCATAACATTTTGGAAACCGCGATAGAACGCATTGAATTGAACTCCGATTGATTCATTGAGTAAAAAGTCAGCGTATTTATCCACAAATTCCTAAACGATAAGAATAATATTAATTAATGAGAAGTAATAATTATTAATTTGACACGCACTCTTTTATTATTATGATTAACGGTAATTTGATCTCCATTGTCTATGAGATCGTGGTAAACTAATTCGCCAAATGCATCCTTGTAACATATTCTAAATGTCTGCATGAACATTTCCTCTATATCGTCATCTTCATAATCCAATAAATTTTTGAGGCCGTTGTATAACTCCTAAACAACAAGCGTAATGTGTAATGCCAGCAAAGAAGCATAGAAAGACTTGTTCCATTCAACCGTACCTGGTTCCAGTCTTGTAAATCATTGAACGTACAACGTTTTCCCAATAGCTTACGGTAAACAACCATTGGGAAATTTATATTTAATATGACGTTATTGTATATGGCAAGGCCAACGATAAGTCCAATCAGTGTATATTGGGCAGCAGTTTCAAAGGAAAACGAATTGAACCAGTAAGTTGGATTACCAGAGTCAGAATTCATTATTACAAACATACCTAGAAATAAAATACACATGATTAAAGATAGGTCCTCATTGAAAAAAAAAAAAAGACCAAATTGAGCTAAATTAATTTTCTTTTAAAACTAGTTATTTTATTAAGTATACCATTGTAGAAAATAATTTGATTGCAAAGAAGGTTTAGTTTTCAACATTTTAATTTCTTGAGTCATAATAAATGTTTGAATCTTAGATTTTAACATTTTTTGAAGATGTTATTTTTTTATAAAAATAAACTTTGAAATCACTTTAGTAAACACCATCAAAATTAACTTTGCATTGGTCTTTCTTTATATGAAATTGTGGTCTTTCTGTTTTCTTTAATAAGTAATTTGTTAGGATAATAAGATATTAAATCTTAGAACTAACTCTTTGATGCCAATCTTTGAAAAAAAAAAAAAAAATACAAGTGAAAGCTTATACCATAGTCTGGATTGAATATTTCTTCAACAATTAAATGAAAAAATTCTTTGGACACGCCGCCTTCATCGACACCTTGTTCACCATCAAATTCGACCGCCAATTGTTTTTTGAGATCTGACGGATTTTGCATGGCGACCATTTCGAGCTATAAATAACGAGTAGTACATACATTTAAAAATGCAAGATAAAGTGTAACTTTTTAAACAATTTTTAATTACTTCGACTAAAGCATCTTGGACTACATGCTCTCTTCTGACTTTTAGTTTTAAGTAAGGGTGTGTAGGTTGTCCTATAAGCGTTTGGATAAGACAAAAACGCCTGTTTTCATACATGCGTATTCTATTATCGTAATACAATCCTAAAGTTTTGGTAGCCGGGGTGAGAATAAATGAGTGAGTCATAAATGAAAACTTCTCGTTGCCGTTTTCTCTCCATGTCTGATAGTCGTCATCCATCTCGAGGGCGTCACTCAATAACTCATTGTAAAATTTTGATATTGGTATAAGAGGTGCACGACACGATAATATATTTATCTAAAATATAATATAATATTATTTGTAGTAAATACTTTTTATTAGCCTAACAAATAGTGTTAGGCAGGCAGTGTTAATACTTTTATTTTATAGAAAAAATATAGTAAAATATAAATTAATATAATATGAAATACATTAAAATAAATAAATTCTTAATGAAACTTCTAGTTACTTCCGTTTGTTGGAAATCAATAAGAAACAGATAGTTTAATTAAATACATTTTTTATATGGGCAACAATTTTGCTATCATTTTTTTGAGGTTTGGCAACAACTCACGTTCAAAATTTCAGCAAGAGGATCATTTTTATTTGTTTTACTCTTTGTTTGTACATTGACCAAAATATCTTCGAGTAGGTTTTCATCTCTGACATCTTCTGATTTTTTTTCTACTTTTTCACTTGGTTTAATTTCTGTTTTATCAGTTATCTTATCGCATTCACCAGCCATTATACTTGCATAGTATAAAATCTAATAAACAAATAACAACCGTTTGGGTAATATTTATACTTAGGTATTTATTTATTTGTGCACAATACTTTCATGGTTTTTGTGGTTGACGCCACTGTAGTCTCCTCTTGAAAAGTCACATCGTATTCAGCCGATATCAATTGAAATGTCACTACTTCCTGGAGACTGTGCAATATTCGTCTTAAAGTGTTTTCCGAAGACTCTTCGCACCAAAACCTTGCGATTTTTGCTTGTTCAACGACAGGAAGAACACAAGTAGCCGCGACAAGTCTAGGAACAATTCTTTCTACGAATAAGAAGTCGTCCAAAAATGGCATCTCGTAGATGACCTTAAGCGAATGAACCACATCCTCTAAATATTTGTCACTGATCGGGTACGCTTTGGATTTGAGAAATTGTAACTCAACAGTTACTTTTGCTAAAAATGAACAAAATTGTTTGCTGTTGTTGAAAAAATAAATTATAACAAATTACTGATGATTTAGTGTAAAAGACCACAACTACTCTTTAAGACTAATTTATTTAATCAATTATGAAAAGAATAAATAACTAATGTTTTTGGTAAAATTTCATCTTGGGTCTCATAAAAACTTAGCAAATTTATAGCACATCAAAAATGAATTCAGATTGTTATTTAACTGATTTTTAACATTTTTTTTTGCTACACATAAGTATGAAAAGTATATTTTTTTATTGAAAAATTACATTGGATTCAGATTTAATAAAATAGCTGTTAGTCATGTATCATAGTTTTTAAAACATATAATTATATATGTAGATAAGCTAAGCTTTTCTTGGCCCAGTGGGCAAATTCAAAGTTGATATGGGAAATTACAATTTTATTTATTATGAAACTGACACAAATATGTACAAAGTATCGGTTCCATAATTTATTAATTTAATATATTAGCGGCCCACTAACAGTAGCAATGTGTAATTAAGAAAAATAACTAGTCAAACCTGAGGAATTTGTATTTGAATAATAAAAAATAATTTGCTACTTGATAATAACCTAGGCATATTTAAATACATTTTATGTTTAAAATAAAAGATTATTTTAAACAGTTTATAAAAATGTAAAAAAAAAACTCATTGTTTTTAAACAATTATTTTATTTTCAAATGAAAATATGCCCAGGTTTGTTTGAAATACATTGAGTAATTTGTCAAGAAAACTTTATTAATAATAATAAAAAACTATTTATAAAAAATAAATTAAAATACAATTGTATTTGTTATTATATTCAAATTTATTTGAACTATCATTTCTTTTTTGTTAAAATAAAAATCAAATTCTACTTTTTATTTCAGTTCTTTATTTAAATACATTTTTACTTTTAATATTTATTTAAATAATGCCCCAATTTGATTGTTTCATATGTACATACAGGGTGATCAACTTATCATTAACCACTCAATATCTCACTGGATTTAATAAGAAATTTAACTCTTTCTTTACATAGTGTTTTTATGCATTGTGATCTCAATTTTTCACAATTTTTTTTTGTTTTTACCTACCTCCCAATTTAGTTACTTTGATATCAACTTTTGAAACTTAAATGGTATTGCATACATTACATTAACTTTTTAAATTGAGAATAATGTACTAAACATTTTGGCTGGTCGATAATCAGTTTTGGATTACTATTTTTGAAGTTATTGAAGTTTCAAGTTCAGAGCAGGAGGAAAGGTGGAGTGTAGTATTATTTTTATCTGCACGTACTTTCCAACCGCACTTCCCCTCCCATCCTAACTTTTTAACTCTTACAACTTTAAAAATAGTAATCCAAAACTGGTTATCGACCAGTCAAAATTTGTAGTACATTGTTCTCAATTTAAAAAGTTAATGTAATGTATGCAATACCATTTAAGTTTCAAAAGTTGATATCAAAGAAACTAAATTGGGAGGTAGGTAAAAACAAAAAAAAATTGTGAGAAATTGAGATCATATTGTACAAAATTATTATGAAAAATTCTATTATTAATTAAACCCAGTGAGATATTGAGTAACCCTGTACATATATATAATAAGGTTTTTAAATAATTGTTTTTATACTCACTACACAAGGAACTAATGGCTAATACTAGAATGTCTTTGTAAAATCCATCATTTTTAGAAGAGCATAATTCTTGATAAGCGTTCGCCAGCCCATCAATGTCCAACTGTCGTTCACAGCCTTCTTCTTCCTCTTCTTCATTACTACTATTATCATCCAATTCTTTTTCTATTTCCATTTCACATACCTGCAATGAGATTATAAGAAACATTTTAGATATTTTCGATACAAAAAAGTAATGTAAAAGCAAACTAACATTTTCTTTGGTCATATTTGGGAAAGCATTTACAGCCCGATTATACAATTTAAGTATATTCTTGTTACGCTTTTGACGTTTTCTGATAAAACTCTTGCCCAATGCTTCTGGCGACGAAAATATGTGATAAAGAGCACATACTAATTCATCATTGTTTTTAAAAGGATCAGCGTTTCTACAGCGATTCACTAACTCAATCATATTGGTCTCATTAAAATATTTTACATCTGAAATCAATAAATAAATTTTTTTTTTTTATTCAAAAATAATATTTTTTACACAAATTAAACACATATAAACGACCTTATTAAAATAAGTCATCTTTAAAAAATTGATAAATTACAATCAAGTTTATAAATTGTTCAAGACAAAGATACAAAGAAATCTATGAAATTCTTTGTTGCCAAATTTTGTAAAATAACACGCTAAATAACTGACACGCATGTCTTGGAAACTTGCCAGACAGTGAAAGGACCTTCAATATTTATAAACAAATGGTTTTTTGCATTTTTGATTTTTTTTTATAAGTAAAATTTGATGAGCATTAGTTATTAAATAGTTTTGACAAACAATAATTAATACATTTTATGCTAATAATAAAATATGAAAAATAAAAAATAACATTTTGATAGTCGAGTTTTGAAAAGATGGTTTTACTATAGGCTAACACAACTACTGACATTATGCCAGCCTATGCTATAAAAAGATTGTCTCTTGACCTTTTGTGTATTTTTTAAAAAAAATATATTTATTCAAACAAAGAAATTTAACCATAATATAAAATTAAGAAAGTAAAAAAAAATTAACGCTCATAAAATGTATTAACCCTTGATTGGTTACACTTTCAAAGAGGGCTATTAGAAACGTCAAAGGGGTTTATTACACCCAGCATGACCACACAAAGATTAAATTACCATATACTAATAAATAATAATAATATCAAAATAGAAATTACCAGATTGACAAGATGTAATATGTCTCAACGGTTCTTTCATAGCATCGAAATTTTTTAAATCAACTGAATCGGGCATGCTCAATGAAGCTACATCTAGATGGTCTAGAATATCTTTGACCGACGAATGAATCCCGTTTTGTTCGCATGGCTTAGTAGGAGTTTGTTCTTCTAAAGTTTTAGAAGTGTCATTTTGTATATCATCATCTTTAACTTCAACCGAAGTGCTCTCGTCTTTCTGCGCCATTGATTCGACTCGGATGATAGACGGTGCCTCTTTAGACCTGGGTTCTGCATTAACAATTTTGAACGGAGACGTATTATTCTCGCTGTCTATTGACGACCAAGGAATAGTGGTTTGAGTAATTTGAGTATCGGATAACGATCTGGACAGATCTGTCGTGTGTACAGGATTTACTTGGTATACGGTACACGAATTTGTTTGAACACATGCATCTTGAGATAAACGGCGGATATCATGGGCGCTACTGCTGCAAGCAAGCGAAGTCGTTGCTTCATGCAAGGTATTGCCGGATATAGACGGATGATCAGTAGTGCGTGCTACTTTGATAGGATGCTGGTCACATAGCCTGGCATCAAGACGAAAGAGACGAATAGCAAGAGCAGCTGCATCATTAGCAGAAACTTTAGAAGACTAGAAAAAAAAAAAAAAGTTTACTTTTAATATACTGTTTATAAATTAAAAAAAAAAAATTGCTAAATATAAACAACAGATTTTATGTACTGCCTAACAATTGAAATTTTTTAAAACCGTAATCTTTAACTTTGAATAGTTATTATACATTGGAAATAAATAATATTAATATATACTTATTTCCTACAATACATTTGCTGTCAATAAAGAGATTTAAATCATAGTATCATTTAATTTATACAACTGAATTTAGGTACTAAAACATCAAAATGTGATAAAAAATTACCTAACAGTGTGCAATGACAACTGTTGATGGTCCACATAGAATGATACACTAATTACAATTAGAGGAATACATGTTTCACGAGGTAAAGACAGACTTATTATAATATACAAGGATAACAAAAAAAACAATACAAAGGAGGTATAAAAATAGCAAACAAGTTATTAGAACATCAATTGTATTATTATCTTATAACTGTTTTGTTTGCATACGATTATAAAGCCTACAGTTTGTATTGATATCGGATATACATATATTTTTAATTACTATAATAAAATAATATTAAAATTTAAAATTTAATCAATTTTAAAAATATTTTGTTTAGAAAAAATGTATGGTATGATTGTTTATTTGGTAAAACTCAAAAATTACATGTTATACATTTTTGATTAGTCATCCTCCTTTTTGCACTGAAGCAATGCAATTTTTAGCCTACAAGATTTGTTGTATGCAACTGTTTGATTATTAAATTTGATACTAGTATTATAGTTTAATACAATAAAGGTATAACAATTAAACGAGTACCTTTTGGCTGGAAGCACAGTAATCATTCTTGCATTGCTCATTTCCACAGCCTTCAGTGATCAGATAGAAATAACGTTCTATCAATTTTTTAGCAGAATCCCTTTTCATGTTGACATTCGGTAAATATACTATTATTGTGTAACGCTATCTGACAAAAAAAAAAAAAAACGATAACATTAGTTTGATGAATAATGAAATATTGTGCAATATTAACAACAAATATATATTACCTATATTTACAACAAAACTTTATGTCTGTTCTGCACCAGCAAGTTGTACCTATTAATAATATTATTATGTTGAGATATATTAATTCTGATCTGATAAATCTGAGGATCTTCTACTTTATTAACTGCGACAATAATAATTTCCGTGACATCTTTAAATAAGTTTTTGATATCATTTGCGAGTAATTTCTTTGGTTTTTCTTATTATAACTAATACCGACACCGCAAAGACAAATTAATACTAGTAAGAGCGTGTGCGTAAGTGTATGTATAATCACATTTCTCAAAGTAGGTACAAAACAAAGAGGAGAATTTATATATTATTATACTACTACTAGTGTACTATATTGACGTTAAAAAAACGACACATACGGACAGGTCGGACACCCGTCAATGAGAATATCACGAAGAAAAGCACAACAGATTTCGGTCGACTGTCGAGTATCGTCTAATGACTATTGTGCGAGGGACCGCGATAAAAAAATTGGTATGTCGGCAAGCGTGTTATCAATTTTACCGATACGGCTGCCCGAAAGAATTACTCGGCCGGCAGCCATTTTGCGCTTATCACGATTTGCGGACAAACCTATGTGCTTTTATGTCACGCGAGAGACGAAGGTCGGTCGAGCGCCATGTGTGCGAGTGCAACAACCAGTGTCGGTCGTGCCAACGTCATGGAATAAAAAACCAAACGATCCCCGATATGACATATTTTCGTCGAAAGAACTGTTGTGTGAAATATCTAATAACTGCAGAATATATTTTGTACGCGAAATTTGCAAAACGATTTTTTACGTCCTCGAGGTAAAAAGTGGAACAATTTCGGACTCGACGGTGTTGTTTTTTTTTTGTTCCATTGAACCGCCCGTCCGGTTGTCTTTCTCTTTTCACCGCGGTTTGGTTATCGCCGCTGGTTCGGTTAGCGCTCATTCGCGAGACCCAAATATATCGGGGCACGACGCGACGTGGTGGCCTCCGTTTATCCATTCAAAAGTAAAACAGCTGTTTCTGCCGTCGTCTGTAGTGCGTATGTGTATGACAACAACAATCGCATTGTTCCGTACAGGACGTGTATTGCGCTGGTGCTAATCGGCCGGTATTAATAATATTATGTTACGCAGTGAGACGCGCAATAAATACTATAGGAAATAATATATTGCCGTGTGGTCTTGGTCGTCGGGCGCCGCCGACAGGTCAATGGTTATTACATCGGTTTTTTAAAGTTTTGGCATGCTATCATTTGAAAATATACACTATGCCGCTCATTTCTAAGGAGTAAAGTATAGGCAATTTTTCGCAGAATCCCAATTTAGATAGTGTTATACTTATTAATAAATAATACAGCGGGTGACGTGTATTGGATTTAATTTCAGGGGCGTTATAAAATAAGAATACATTTAATTAATATTATAAATTAAATTATATTTTGATAATTATCATAACTATAACAGTATAACGCCTTATTATGTGTCTTAAATTAAAGAATAAAATCTTAATTTAAGATTAAATGAATTCGCGCGTACCAACCATTAAATTGGGGCGGGGGAAGGAGGGGGTTGAACCCCTAAAACTCTTTCCTATATACACCACTGCATACAGTAATAAAGATTCTTTATTGACTGTCAATTTTTTTTGTCTGACTATATCACAGTTATTTCTATTGGATAAATTACAATTTTTTCCCATCATAACTGCTAACTGCTTTGCGCGGGACAAGTATGTGAGGCCAGTTATTCATTTATTTTAATCGTGGTATGTTTCATATAATTACAATGTAAAATTATTTTTGAAACGGACAATTGCTTAAAATATGTGTTTGTCTTGCGTTTGACATGCTGTAAATCTATAGTTTATGCATGTGAAGAAACAGAATCTACACATGTTCAGCGATAACAAAATCTAGACATGTTGGCAAATAATTCACAAAATACTACATTAAAAACACACAATTCGTCTAAAATTTAACTGTTAGTACGTTGTGTAAGCTTTTGAAAAACTTTTTTTTTTAACTATAACATTCTATTTTAAAAGTTGTAGTTTTAATATTTATTTAAATAAAGTATTAAGGCTATTGGGTACCGGCCATTTTTTCCGTAAAATATTAAATCTTTTTGTAGTGTTTAAAAAAATATTATTAACCGAAAAATTGGCCTGACCGATCTCAAGTAGACTTCACGCTGAACTCAAATTAATTTTCAGAAGTGTTATCGCATCAATACAACGATTGGACTGATTGAAGTAAAATTAGTAGTTTTTGCAGCACAAACGCGTAACAGAGAAAAAACAGAAATTGCCTACCTACAACTCCTTAATTAAGGCCGGTACCCAATATATGATTGAATCATTTTTAACGCAAATTATAATTTATCCCAATTTGTTTTCCGATATTTAACAGATTTTTTCTGTTTTTTTTTTTCGTACATTAAATTAACAGCCCTGATTATAACTGTTTAAGATGAATCAAAGTAATAATAATTAAGTAGAGTCCAATAAGTAAGCGACTTCGCATGCGTGTAGTGGTCGTAGGTCGCGGTGACAACGTTTGTCGGTCCCCGGGGGACGCCGCCACGTTGATCAGAACGACTGCCGATCGCGCACGCCAGTAATGCGTGTTGCATACGACAAACCGGTCACGGCGCTCCGCTGTTGTCGGGAAACGTGCGAGTTCGTTATTTTTGCCGCGGTAAAAAAAAAAAATAATAATAAAAATAGTTTTTAATTACAACAAATCCGGTCCGGAAATATTATGTTTGACGCCCCGAGTATTCGAATTGTACGGAGAACACGACACGTAAGTCGTTATAAAAATAATATGTATACTATACATAATAAATTAATAAAAGCATAATATGTATTGTATAATAATTGTTATTATTCATTCGAGATTTATATTTTTGCACGATTTTGTTACCGAATTTAGCGTGTTCATTTTGTTTATTTTTTACCGCTTTTGATTTCCCATAAAGTACAGGGTACGGGAAAAAGATATGCATCGGTTTCGAAGGGCTGTAGAAAAAAAACTATTCAACTTAGAAAAATGACATTTACACTGTTCGATTCAGTAGACAATCTTGTTTTTTACATCAAGTTTTAAAGGTTACATCACTAAAATAGTGACCGTGAGCGCGCAAACCACCCCGCGTATCCCCTCGGAGAGACCAGGCGCTCGGGGACCATTTGTCTCAATTTCAGACCTGCGCGCTCACCAGATTTGACCATTTTGGTGTTTTTTCTTAGGGGATACCTAAAGGAAAACGTTTTTAAACATCGTCCATACAATCTCGAAGAACTTAAGAAGATAATTAGGGAGCAAATAATGGCCATACCCATTCGAATGTGCCGACAACTTGTGTTGAAAACTTCAGAAATCGCCTTCAAGAGTGTATCGTTGCTGACGGTCGCCATTTTAGTGATGTAATCATTAAAACTTTGTGTAAAAAAAAAAATTGTCTACTGAATCGAACAATATAAATCTCATTTCTCTAAGTTGAATGGTTTTTTTTCTGCAGCCCTTCAAAACCGATGCATATCTTTTGCCCCACCCTGTATATTATACAATATGTATCAGCGTCCCATTAATATTGCGGGATTAATATTATTTTAAGTTGGTTTTAAAAAGGGTTTCCGGGAAAATCCCTAAAGTCGAGTAGGTACGAAGGTCTCGTTCGATACGTAAACGAATTTCGTTCAAACGGATTAAGTAGAAAATCGAAAAATACCGTTTTGACGGTAGTTAATTGAAAATTTGCATCTTTACAGTAAAAAATATGTTCTATGTTTGTTTAAATTGGTCGATGGCTAAAGACAAGTTTATCTCCCGAGTGAATTTTTTTTCAATTTTCATTATAAAATTTACTATGTAATTTCAGATGATGGTAAATTCGGATTTCGTCGGTCGGACTTACTTAGTAAGTCGCTCTTAGAAGTTATAAACATAAAGTTATTAATTATATTTTTTAAAAATGCAATTATCACTTCTGATTTTATTAAAACATTGAAAATAAATCACTTAAGGGTGTCGGTGCCGATCATTTATTAAGGAGTAAAGTATTTTTTACAAAATCTTAACTTAAAGGTTAAACTGTGATATGTAATTATTAGTTCAGTAGTTAGGACTCTTTTTTTGGTAGTGGAATTATTCAACGATATCAATCAAAATTAAATAGCTCTATTTAAATGAATAAAAATGCTTTTACAGGAAATACTTTCACGCCTTGGAGACATGTCGGATTTTAATCATTTTTTTCTTTATTTGAAAGGGGAAAACTTTTTGCAGGCCGAATAGAAGCCTTAATTTTTATAACATCAAATAGGGCTAAAAAAATAACAAATATTGGCATAATTCAAATGCACATTATAGCTTCTATAATAAGAATTTTGAAATCGGGCTTCTATCCGACCTACAAAAAGTTTTCCCCTTTCAAATAAACAAAAGTGATTAAAATCCGGCTATTCTACAGTACGTTAGAGTTTTTCCTGTGAGACATGTTTTTGTACTATAAACGTACCGGCTCCGACAGCCTTAATAGAAAATATATTTTTTTTTTATAATATAGTATTTAAATGTATTAAGAGCACGTCACACACCCGTTATTTTCTTCAAAAAACCCGCCTTGCGCGGATTAATTTTACAAAGGCTATAATCGAAACTAAGAAACCAAATTTTTACATAATATAGACAACAACATTTTCTGTGTTCTACGATCGCCCTTTTTTTAATATTTCAACCAGTTAATGAATAATTAATTAATTAAGAAAGGACTTTTTTAATAATGATATAGCGTTGGTTGTATTAGGTATATCGAAAAAAATACGGATAATGGAACACAGATAATTTTGTCTTAAGAGGACGCTACCCACCCGTAATTTATCCGCAAAAAATGGCTTTGCGGGGGACAACAATGTAAAGGCGGTATTTACAGTAGCCGTATACATTTTTTACAATGGATAGAGAAGAACTTTATTTACGGGGTAGCGATTTTAGTTTTTTGATAACTTAATCACAATTAAAATTATTTCTTCGTGAAGATTCTATTTTTTTTTCATTTTTCATTTGCTTATAAAAAAATCTTAAGTATAGATATCAAACAAATAAAATCGTTACCACGTAGATAAAGTTCTTCTCTATACATTGTGAAAATTTGGTAAATCTACTGTTAATACTGCCCTCACATTCTTGTCCCGCGCAAAGCAGTTTTGATGGGGAAAAAATTGTAATTTATCCTATAGAAGTGACTGTGATAGTCTGACGAAAAAAATGGCAATCAATAAAGTATCCTCATTACTGTATTAATAAGTATATAATACAGTTCAAACTCTAATTTAAGATTTTTCGAAAAATTGCCTATACTTTACTTCTTAGAAATGGCCGGTGTGGCATCCTCTTAACTGTCATTCCTTTCAGGAGTTTCAGTTTTCTTTTACTTTAAGTCGTT